CGGAAAACACAAATGCACACACCCCTAACACGTGCTTATAAAGACTGAAAAAAGCAGCAATTCACTACACTCACTAAATTCCTAAAAATGCATTTGCAAGTTCATGATAATCCTGAGCACCAACATTTAAATCCTAGAGGCATGCACCCATGACTACCACTAGTGGTGCTTCTCTAAGTTTTGATGAGGATTTTATTCATAGACTCTTCGATTGCAAAAACGCATACCCTCCCGGTGGAAAAATAAAAAGAAAAAGAAAAAAAATAATGAATATTTATGTGTCCCCACTGAAGCTCCTGAGGGAGCTTGCTGTCCCTTCAACCCAAGCTCATCATGTTATTCCCTGAATGGGCCTAAACCCCTTTCCAGAGCCAGCATCCCTTTCCAACCCAATTATGCAAATACCATATACCCCAGATGATGGAGAACCAACCAGGCAAACCCTGCATGCATTAATATTGGCCCCAACTCACCTAGCTAGCTAGCTTGCTTCATCCACTAAAAGTGTGCATTGATCATGCAACACTGTTGTGCCACCTTCTACAGTGCACTTTCTTTTTTCCATTCTGGCTCCAAAAGAAAAGGCCAAGGGAAAAGCTTTTATGGGAGAGGGATCCCCATAAATCCACCAGTGGGAGAGGGATCCCCATAAATCCACCAGTCATTTGTAGCACTTAACCAAGGAGTAGGTCTGTAGGTGTTACCCACTTAATTAGGACATAGGATTTCCAGTTCATTTGGACTACATATATCTGCGGCGTCAGGATGTATTTTTCTAACGTGTGATTATGCATTTTATGTGAATATGTAATATTCTTTGTTTCAGGAAATTAATATTCTGTATTTAAGGATTTTTTTTTCTTGAGGAATATAGGTGCCGATTCCGGCACCCATGTGGCATTGTAGGTGCCAGCAAAAAAAAACCATAGAATTGGCACCTATATGGTATTATAGGTGCTGGTTCCTATCAATAACCAGCACCTATAAAGCATCCAGGTCATCCCCGAGATCACTATAGGTGCCGGTTCGTTCCTATAATGCCCATAGGTGTCGGTTCAGTAATCGGCACCAATGTCTTGGGTAATTGGTACCGGGCTCGAAACCAGCACCTATGAGGGTCTTCGAACTGGCACCTATGATCTTTCCTGCAGTAGTGGTTTTTGTCTATCAGAGCTACTTGAGCTTCTTGTAGTGACTAGATCACCTTGCACGGTTGCACCTGTCTCAATCTGCACATACAGCAAAGCACATGCAATGTAGGGAATCAGAATCATTTCTAGGGAGAAAACAAAAGGGATCCCAGGCATATGATCTTTTATTGGAAAATCTTCTAACTTTATTTTGAGGGGAACACTCCCAGGCCTTTTCGTAGCTGCAAGCCACGTATATTCTTGATGTCACTAATCATTATCCGGAGGATGCTATATACTCAACTAGCTTTACAAAATATTCGTAGCTTTTGCGTCTCCCTAATTTTTCAAAGGTTGCAAGCCCATGTATGGAGAAAAATAGATATTCCTTTATGTCCTATTATAATATATCACTTCTAGGGTAACATAACTCCCGTAAAACTATAGATTTAGTGTTATAAATTCCATCCACAATGTCTCAAACTATAGATATTTAGCACTGGTATTGTCACAAATTAATCTACAGATTTTAAAGGCTCCATGCGGAAAAATAATGTTAGGACGAAACCTCGATCGAAAATCTGTAGTTTGAGATATTCATATGCTAATAAATCTTTAGTTTTAAGATATTATATATTCTTAAAATCTGTAGTTTTATTAATTAAGATACCCAACCTTAGATGTGTAGTTTTGTAAAATCTACAATAATATTAAATAATATTAATGGTGTGGTTTATCATGGTGGACACACTTACGCTACAAGCTTGTACATCTCTCTTAGTAAGATTTTGTGAGATTCACCTATGTAGCCACCATCTGGTTAACATGTGTAAAAGGGATTGAGATCCTCTGATGTAAAGTCAGAGGAACGTGGTAACTGACATGTGGGTCCCACCGCTCGTGGGGTCACTGGGAATAACTTTATATTATAGGTTCCGCAAAAAAAAGATACAGGCTCAAAACCGGTTATATATATAGACACACACGCACACACGCGCACACACACAAAACTGCATTGTAGGGCCTGTTCACTTTGATACCATTTTTAATCTTACCAAATTTTGGTAAAGTTACCTAAAAAAGTGGCTACATTTAGTTTGCTGCTAAATTTTGGTAACTATATAAGAAATCCTGCCAAAATTTTAGTAAGTTGCCAAAATTTTAGCAATGCCAAATTTTAGTAAGGTTTTTTTGACATCAAAAGTGAGCAGGCCCGTAATTTGAGCCATATGAACCATACACAGCAATTGCTACCTTATAATTAATTGCCTATGGGTCGCTTTTATAGTGGGTCCTAGTGTTGCCGGGAGCCCACACGACGACGGTACGTTTTCACCTGTTTTACCGCATCTGCATGCAGCAGAGATTGCCAGATCCCAACCAATGGTGAACAGTGAGGGATCTGCACTACAAGTTGCTGAAATGGGAGACTACTAGCAACCTTGTGCTTGGAGCATTCGGTGAATAAAATAAATGGATATATATATTCCTGACAGAAATGAGAGTGAAAATTACATTCCCTCTTATCGGGTATTCAGTATTCTCCTAGCTAGTTGCAGCTGCCGATTCCAGGATGTATATATTACTAATTTTATAGGCCATTAAATTGATGAGAGGATTAATTCTAGTGAGTGCATCCACTGAGGGACGCCCTGTGTGTATGATGCAGACAGACTGCAGCGGACATCTGTGGTGATCAAATGAGCTCGCGTATGAATTCAGATGAGGACAGTTGGGGTAAGATTTTCGGTACGTAAGCGTAACACGTGGAACGAGACATACCCTAATCGAGTACTACTTCCGTTCCAAAATGTCACGGGGTACCTCCGTCCTAAAAATAAGTGTAACCGTGAGTATCTGTGTCCAACGTCTAATTGTCCGTCTTATTTAAAAAAATTATTAAAAAATTAAAAAAAATAGTCACACATCAGGTAATATTTCTGTTTTATCATCTACTAACAATACAAATACTAATCATATAAAAATTTCTAAAATGAACCGATAAAGTTGGATACGAACCGTACAAAACTACATTTATCTTGGGACGGAGGGAGTAGTAAATTGTAATATTTTGGGATGAGGAAGTATCAATTTTCAATGGTATGACATTAGCTCATGATTAATCGGATATTAATTATTATAAATTTGAAAAATAAATTTATTTTTAAAGAAATTTTTATATAGAAAACTTTACTTAAAAAAATATACCGTTTAGCAGTTATAAAACATGGTAACGGAAAACAGAAAAATTATTTTTTAAAGTTACAATTGAATTGTTTAAATCACTAAACAATTGAATTGGAATTTACAACCGCTGAAATAATCATTTTTTTTCTTTTTTGGCTAGCCATCGTTTAGAGAACTCCCATGGTAATTCACCGAGGAAAACACAGACAAAGGCAAATGCGGGGAGTTTGGAAAGACAACCGACATTACAAACCTTATCTTTTGTGTTTTTCATCCTAAAATGGCATGGTAATTTATCATGATACATTTATAGGTACGCATTGTGAGGTTCTTTTAACTTTTCCTCTTCCTCTTCCTAACCCTAAGCACCGCCGCCACCAGCTTCTCCGCCTCGTCGTTGCCTGAAAAGCGCACCCTCGACTGCTGCAAGGATGGTGGTGGTGGGGCTTTCCTTCCTCCCTCTCCTCCCTCGCTCCTGTTCCCGAGTCTCATCACCCGAGTAGGGGTAGTGCGGCGTTAGAGGCAGGTGGCGGTGGTGACCCGGTTGGCAACGCGGAGAGGCGCTGCAAAAATGGAGGCGAGTGGTGGTAGACCTTCCTCCTCTCCTTCTCCCCTCCCTCTCGTTCCCCCCACCTAGCCATCTGAGTTGGGGCGGATGGTGCTGATGACCCCTGATGGTGGAGCAGCCTAGCCTGATGGAGATGGAGGCGGGAGGCTGCTTGGCGATAGGGGTGGTGGGGCTTCCTCTACCTCCTCCCTCCCGCTCCTCCCGGTCTCGCTGGTTGAGGTGGAGCGGAGTCGTGTTGGAGGCGGACGGTTCCATCGGCCTCGCCTAGCGAGGGTTCATGGCAACAACGAAGGTGAACTGGTGGTCGATAATGGTGTCGAACTCGGAGTTAGGGAGGCATGGTGGCAGTGGCAGAAGTCAGAGGCCAGTCAATACCGGCTTGTTGATCGGTAGTGGTGGGCAGCTCATGATGATGACAGGTTCGTTCTTAGAGGTGGAAGGGCCGGCAACGGCGACACACTAGCGGCGTGCACAATGACGGTGCTAGGGGCCTAGGTGACAATGGCAATGTTGGTGGTGGTGGTGGTGGTTGGTCTGCTTGGAGTTGCGCTAGGAGCAAAGCCGAACACAGTTGACAGCGCCAAGGGTAGTGGCAGAGGTCAGCGGCGAAGATGGCGTGGTGATCGCGATTCTCCAGCTTTCGACAGTTCGGTGGAGGCAAGGTTCTACACCGACAATGGTGGGGTAGCGTGATCGTTTTCGTGTGATATGGCAATGGAGTAGGGCAATGGCTTTTAGTGAGATAAGCTACAGCAACTCGGTGAAGATGGTACCCTATGACGATGATGCCATGCCAGCAATGAATACGTTAATGCTGAGGGGACAGATTATCTGCTGGCATGAGGATGGTGCTTGGTGACGACAAGATAGTTGGGCAGACTAGCTCTATCCGCTTAGCTCACGGTGGAGCGGAGAAGCTTTTACCGTTGCTACAGCATCAACGAGAGCATGGATTCCTCCGCATTCCCCAATGTTTCAAATGTTGAGAAAAAAACTTGAAGCTAGTTTTCTGTTCTTTTCGGTTGTTTGTTTTGTGCATCTCTATTATAAGATGTGGAGTGTACCAGTCATGGCATTGTAGCTTCCACTTATTTATTCGCACGAACAACCAGAGCTAGCACCAAACAAACATCATTTCGCCATGCAACTGGCCTGATAATCTTAAAACATATGGAACGCCAGAATGCTTTGATCAGCATGTTTACAATCACAAACCACACTCTGTCACCATGTTCACAACATGGGACATGAGGTCAAACACATGCACAGGGTAGTCAGTAATGTATACAATCCGTCCAGCTTGTCCTGACAATCAAGAATAATCTGATAGATCTACATTTCCACAGCATGTAAACATGAGTAAAAAGTTGGGTAAAATGTACAACAGTCCGTATAGTGGTGACTTTGGAAGTACATGCCGCTGCCAGCTCTTCGTTTGCTCCAAAGTCCAGCCTTGAAATCTGACAAACATTTCAGAGCAATAGTTCCTTCTGACAGCACTTGTGAGAACTCATATTCTAACAAATATTACTTGAGCTCAGTATCAAGAATGGGACTTGACAAACACATACTAGGAGCTTTTGCTGTTTACTTCCAGAATCCTGGCATGCAGTCACCTGTATGGATGTGTTCCCAAATGATCTAGATTTTGTCTAGACCAAGGCTCCTCACAATCATGACCCTGACTCCGCGATTTCACCACCAGATGATTCTGGTTTGGTATCCACATTTTCAGGATACAAATCTGATTTTACTTCATCAGATGAAGCAGACACCTTTTCCCCAGAGTCTGTGATAACCGTTTCAGATTTTTCATTGGCAACCAACACCTTGTCACAAGCCTTATTTGATTTATCCTCTGTACCATCTGAAATATTATTCAAGTTGGAATCATCTACGGAAGAAATATTTTCATCCAGCGCATCACCCGTGGCCCTTCTAATTTCTCCAGAGGTATCATTTTCCTCTTCACCTGCTGAACCAGCGATCTCATTCGATAAGTACAAGTCATAATTCTTGCTTTCCCTACTCACAAATTGGTCACCGTGAATCTGCTGTGATTCATCATCCGTCTCTTCTTTAGTAACATGAGCTGATGATCCTGTGCAATGAACTTTTGGATGTTTTGGGGATTCCTCATGATCCTTACAGGAGAACTCTTGAGATTTGCTCTCGACCTGTTGTGCAGTATCTGAGAAATGTGAAGTGGAGGGTTCTTTAAGATATTTATCAAAAGAACTTAGGCCTTCTGTTGTACCATCTGAAACATCTACATCACTAACTTCTTGATTAATATTTACCTGAGGGATCTGTTCGTCATGAGGACTTGCAACAGAACCCTGTTCAGGTAAAGGTGAGGCAGCTGTAGCAGAGTCTGCACCATTGTTGGTACCATGTGCAGGAAGAGACTGAAAATTATCCCAGTCATCATCCCAATCATCATCACTAACTTGTTTTTCATTCTTCTCTTCATCTGCATCTGTGGCATTGAGCCCAGGTTCTTGACTAAAGCCACCCTGAGCATTCTGCTCTGAATTTGCGCTGATATGCCCAGGCACTATTGTCTGACCCTGAGTGACTGAAGCTCGGATCATGTCCTACAAACAGCACAGGTTATTTAAGATACAATTTTCAGAGAACACCTAAATTTGAATATATTAAAAATGCAGCAACGCTGTGTCACATCTCAGCAAAATAAAGTAGCATGGGAATCAGTTAGTTAGCACAAACATAGTGTAGGTAACATAATTGTATATACATACTGTAGAGTAAAGAGTAGGGTGACAGATTTTCAAAAATGGACATGAAAGTCAGAATCTAAAAGAAAAAAATTAAGTTCAGCTCCATGTAAATCAGTCAGTACATAATAATGCAAATACCTGAAGTAGTTGTCTTTTTGTAGGTGCTGCTGACAACATTATATCTTTGATATGTATGGCAGCAGATGGAATCTGAATAAAATGAGAGAACAACTTCTTGGATATGTTGTTTACTTCAGTGAGTTCCTGGATCAGATCAGCACAGCCAAAGACCATCAAACTGGATTCAATTGTACATTTACCTGATTTCATGATGAGAACTAGCTAACTAATTTGTGCTACCTGTGAACCCGTGGCACTAGAAGAATAGAAAACCATCAGTAAGGCATCCAGCAGAAGCATTGTAGCCTCTTGCGGGCATTTCTTTGACTGTGCTAGCGAATGGAAGAGGAAAAGCAATTTTAGACATTCATCAATGACACTGACAGAGTCCTTGCTCGAACATCCCTGGAGGAATAAAGTTGTCAGGGAATGCCATCTGATCTTGCCAAAAATTTACAATCCCAAATTAATTAAGCTTCCAAATAGTACCTTTAATGCAGTTTGAATCACAGAAAACACATCTGCCAGTAATTCCACAAATAGCACCATAAAAGAATGTGTTGCTGTTTGTGAGCCTTCAGCTAGCTCTCTTTGTGCAGAGACTTTAAGAACATGTACCCCCAACATTTGTACCTGTTTAGAGGAATCATCTTCTTAGATACTAACACTTCATGACATTTTCGGCATGCATAGTAAGCAAATCCAGCTATTTTACCTGTATGGTTGTACTGCAAAGTGAAGCCTGAACAACTTGTGTGCAATGCCTGAAGCTACCTGACATAAGTTCATTGCTTGTACAATTTTCACCATGATATCCAATCTCATCAACAAGTTTTGCAAGAGCAATAGCTTCTCCCAAACAGAAATATAGTATCTTTGCCAACAGTTTGTAGGAATCAGAAATCTTGTTATCCAGCATTGATATCCTGTTGCTGCATTGTGTACATAAGTATGCCACCAGACTAACCAAAGCTCCCAAGGCAACTTCGCAGTTGGCACACTCATCACCTGGTTCAGCTCTTTCTACAAAACAAATAATCACTTCTTAAATTAGTACAATGGTCTTCCTGTCTAACCATTGTTTTATGTTTATAAGGGAATAGCACTCTTCCATCCCACGGTTTTTTAGGAAGGTACTTGTTAAGCAACTCTTTTTAGTCCTGTTCCAGCCATCAGCTCACAGATTTGCTCCATAAATTTGGGGCATTTGGACTATGATAATGGGACCAAATAACCAAGGTGCCCCAGGTCAAAGTACAACAGAGTTGGCAAATTCAACATTACTTTCTAACAGAATGTTTGTTCTTAAACTCAAAGGCCAAATCTTAGAAGCACATCCAAAGCATCTGGTTCATATAAAAGACTGAGAATCGAGGTCATCACATTATTTATTTGTATTGGTGTACAAAAGTGGGTGATAAGGGAGACAATGGAGTCAGAGTGGTAAGTTACCGGTTACATGGGGGACTCATTCAAATCTGCTATAGTAATATGCTACTATGTTATTTCATTAGATTTAGTTTTGTGTTTAATGTCCATAAAAATAATTGAGCAAAAATAAAACAGTATTCTTACCAGGGTTATCAAAACAAGAATAGGACTCAACCCTTACGGGGCTAAGAATTGATGTTTATTGAAGCAAGAGCAGTTTGTTGAGCTTTTAGCGGTACTGAACCGCAAGGGGTATTTTGCGAAAAGTTGATCAGCAAGTAAATAAGACTTGATAATATTACCTTGAAGATATTTCTTCATGATTGGCAAAGTATTTTGGAGAAAGGAGATGATATTTGACAAGCATAGATTAGAGGGGACTTGTTGAAATGATTGGTATGACGTGGATACCAGTAGCATCATCAGTTTCCACCAATGCTGCCACAAAAAACAACCTATCAGATTCAATGCATCTCAAAAGTAATTCAAAAGGCGCTAACTAGATAGGCAAAATTTGCTACAGGACACGCAAAAAACGCGTAATTAGCTGAGGTAGCTGTAGCAAATTTTGCCAACTAGATATGATCAGGGAAACCCAGGTTTTATCATATCACTACCTCATTTTTCATTCGGCATGCCATTGTCTCAGTAGCAACAGATAATTCAGAAATCAAACTATTGCTTAAGCATTCCTGAGAACTTCCGCACCTACTGCAAAGATTAAAAGAAATAACATACAAGGGTAAAAGGAGTGCTTGCCAAATCTTGTCAAAGGAAATAAAGTAATCACCAGAAGCATAGAAAAAGGTTTTGACTTTTGAGTGTGGTGAGAATCTGAGAATTACCTTTGAAGTATAGTAGCAAGATACCATGAGTAGAACTCTAATGCAACAAAAACAAACTCCTCCACCTCAAAGAAGTTGTCAGGGCACAGTCTGATTATCTACATGAGGAATCCAAAGTAAGTCAGCAATTAGATGTCCCATCAAAATAGTTAGTGTGCAATGGAATAATTTTGCACATTAAGGGCAAGAAGCAATTTGTTATTGGATACCAGTCTACAAATTAATTATTCAATTGGGTCCTAATTGTCATTCATTCCCCTATGCAATTCTGTTGTCGTCACATGTTGTCAGGTGGGGCAGCCCACATTAACAGAGAATGACATATATATAGGACCTCCTTGAGTAAAGGTTTGCCTGATAATGAAGTTTCATGCTCTTATTGTTGTAGCTAGGTAAAATGCAAAGCTAAAAGCTGTAGAAAAGCAATAGTTTTCATATAATAGTTGCATTTGAAAAAAATACTTAATTTTAAACTCAAAGCAATTTGTGTTGACATAAAGGTGAAATGATGCACCTCCTATAATTAGAAACCACAATGACTGAATTACTAAGCATCAACAAGAAATCCAAAAAAATGTTAAGGTAAATTGGGAAAAATGGCTATCTCCATTAAAAAAAAAAGCCACCGAGGCAATTGAGGCAAGGACAGTGAGGATTACCGTCTCAAAAAAGGTAATAGGTAAGATGGCGCCGAATTCAGGAATAACGTAATGCATTGTTTCTTATGCTGTTTAATAACTCGTTAGTTTTTTTTTCCTCTTGGCAATTAGTTGTGTGTTTTTATCTCCTCTAACTCCTCCAAACACTAATATTCATATATCCTCAAAATTACTGCACTAACACCATAGTGTTTTGGGACACACTAACAAGCATAGTGTTTTAGGACTGCAGACACTGCAACAGCATTAAGATTTGGTCGTAGATCGTCGTAGATCAATATGTCCAGGAAGCAAATTAACAAAGACAAGACAATACCTGGGAGAACAGGCATACAACAGGAGCACTTGAACAATCAGCATAAGTAAGAGCCTGCATTGTACAAATACCTTGTCAATCAAGGAATAACTTAATCAAGCAAAGAATGAGAAGTATGGCTTGGCATGGGAAGGAGTATTAGTGGCAGAGGTCATTGAGATGAGAAGAACGCCGAGTCATCTAGCCCAACACAATTAACAAGCATGGATTTAATCAAACTGTATCACCTAAATAAGTGTCCTACTTCCACTCTCATTAAAAGCTACCAGATGAAAAGCACCCTTCAAGAGGCACATTAAATTATGACAGTTGGAGCATTGAAGTATTAAGGCTAAATAATATTAATGAATATTTGAGTCTAGTATTAATCCCACATTAGTTTTCCTGGGAATCAAGTGCCCTTCCGCCTATTGGCATATTAAGCTACAACAATAATATATTCATCATGTTCCTAGCATTTGACATATGATAATCAAATCTTCAATCCTGAACATGTCCTTCCAAGGGGTATCCAATGTAATCTCCCAGGTGTACCATTACTATTTCAACACATAAGTATGAGACACTTAGAAAATGCTACTCCATTTCCAAATAAAGCATGTATAGTATTTTGTTGTGAAATTGTGTAGGGAATTAGGGTAGTTTACACATAAGCTTGGGTTTTCATCATTAATAGAAGTAAATAACTTAAGATAGGGGCCAGCAAGTTTAACTGTTTTGAAAGTATTGTGGCAACAGCAGGTATGCACTGACCTGTAGGAGTTCCTGACAAGTATCCACTGTAAGAAAATTCATGCTAAAAAACACTTGTGAAGTGAGGGACGATAACACAAGCAACATTTGATCACATGGTCTTGGATTATCTAGTCCAGCGCAGACAACAAGGCCTCCAATCTTTTTCTCATTATTACGGTCAAGATTGATTTTTATAGCACTATTCGACATTGATGGTTGTGTATGACAAAGCACAAGGACCGATAGTCCCCAAAGAAACTTGAATTCAGTTAAATTCAGTTTGACCATACTATGTCCAGATATAAATGTCTGTCCAAGCGTATCTTCAGAATCATCCATTTCGAACTCCAAAGGAGCTGCATCAAGAGCTGTTGCTTGAAGAATTAGTGCCCAAACTTCATCAAGATACTCCTTTGCCTTTGATGACACCAAGAATGACTGGATCCCATCAAGGAACGGCTTGTGCTGTTTTTAAGAAGACACAGAAGAACATTATAACCTCTTTAGGGCATAATTAAAAAGGCTTGATAGATGATCTTACATTGATTCTTGAATGCAGACCAAAACTTATCGAGCTATAATCCTTGAGGGCTCCAATCCAATACTTTCCTAAGAGAGATGAACTATTTGCAAGCAAAGGTGCCAATTGCTGATGTTCATCAGGAATATTTTCCTTCATCCTCAAGAATTGATAAGTATAGCATTTTACTGCAGCATGAGCAGTAAGCAGACGTACTTTTATCTGTCAGATGACAAAAGCTAGCTCAGGAGCTCCGTAGAGGCAAATTGCAAAAACAAATTTGGATACAGTGTATCACCACTTAAGGCAATTTTGGAGAACCATAATACCTTACATACAACCCAATCGGCAAAAGATGGATAAAATAGGTCCTCTATGTCATTTAGCGGACGGCATATTAGCAAAAACAAGCGATTAAGAGCTACCCTGTCGCCCCCAATTACGCTACTTGTCATAACCTGGTTCCACCAAACACAGATATTTATCAATATGTCTGGTGTACAGGGCGAAAAAAAGGAACGAACGGGAAATATTTTGCTAGAAACCTTTGTGGCAAGTTCAAGGCCAGCCTCAAGGAGAAGTGGACTAGAAGCAGTACTTATGGCCGTTCGAACAGCAGAAACGAGCTGAGCCTGCATTTTAAATTTCAAACACAGAAAAAAGCAGAGTAAAGCAATCATTCAACTACAGGATTAAATCAAGTTTACAGGGCTATATATAAAAGACTAAGGTACAGGATCATGATGTTACCCCAAAAAAAGAAGAAACACTGGAAACTGAGATGTAATAATCACCTGAAATTGCTCCAACAATATATGCCCAGGAAATTCAGGATCCACAGCCATGCCAAACTAGAAATATATAAAAAAATACAACACTCAGCCAATAAGGAAATTTAAAGGCAGTGTTATGGTCAACTGTAAAGAAATGTAGAATAAGTTCTTGTTATTGTCTCACCCAGGTTTAGGATATCTTCACCTTTCCTGATAATAAACCTATTTACCTAAATAATCAATTACTTATCTAGGAAAAAATGATCATGTGCCAAAGTCATCTTAGAACATACATACAGTAGGATTATACCTCACAAAACTATTTACTAGTTTCACAGCATCTTGATGGCAACAACATGCACTCTCAATATTCAACAAGGCAGATGGTGAGGACTAATTTAAGTTTCAGATATGTTCCTTGAATTAACTAAGTTAGTGCATCATTGGCATTACTGCACCAATTGATTACGTAGTTATGTTAACGCAAAATTGTTTCCAAAAGAGCCAATATACCTTGTCCATAATCAAACAGAGAAGCTTCACTCCTATTGGCTGCATGCCTTCAAATTGTCCAGTACTTATCTGCCATGCAAATGTTGTTGTCAGCTTTTAATCGGAGAATTCACTCCAAAAGTTCTTCAAATTGTGTTGTGCTCTGAATATTAAATTTGTTTTCTGTTTGGACCTGATATGAAAGTGAAACCAACTCTTGTAGCTTAAGAATTAGCCAGTCATTTGACAGATGAACCCCTTCAGCTACTGCACTTCTTGCCAATAGGAGGTCAAAATGAGCTGGTTCTGTTCCAACGGCAACAGGTACATGGCTAACACATCTGTTTCCATGCAAATAAACATTTTAATAATAAGTGGGAAGCAAATAAAAATATATATCTGTAACAGTCTAACAGACATACTCTGCTGCAAAAACCCTGGTGCGATATCTCAGATGCTTATTTCTTTGTGGAAACTGGCTAAATTTATTGGCAGACCAGTTTGTTTTTTCCTGCTTTGAGCTAGATATCATGTTGTCTTCATCTGCTCCATAGTATATATCATTCTCTGCATTACTGTCAACGGGATCATGTCCAGAACTGGACAGACCTTCGCTTGTGTTTCTTGCAATTGAGGTAGCAAGAACCTGAATGTTATAAAAAAATGACAATATAAATCTACCAAATCCAAAGCATGATTTTCATCATGAAGGTTCTGTATAAATGTAACAAATATACTAATAATACATGTGTTCCTCATGCATAATAGACGCATTGAGGATAAGGCATTATACGCATTGAGGATAAGGCAAAATGATGCCTTATCCTCATTAGTTTGTGCATGAAGGAGAAGACTAAGGAAAAATAGGATACTAGAAATAAGAAACATGGTTGCCATGCCAACTACAACAATCGACAATCTACATGAATTTAAAGAAAGGTGATTGACAGAAAGAGCAGTGGCAACTGAGATATGGTATCTGATACTAAAACAACATTCACTAACAGTACACATGCCCTTCCAAGAAACTAAAGAGTAGTAGCACATAAACTTAACAAAGTAATAGCAATCCTCTTTTAGGATATTATGCATGTAATGCAGTGGAAAGAATTGATGCCAAACTTGCCAACCATTATGAGTTTTGCATAAATACAAGAAACCCTAGAACTAATGTTGGGGGAACTTTTGTGTATGCCACTAAGTGGAGACCATTCACATATGCCACTAATTTTTCCGTTCATGCACATTCCACTGTTCCATTACTGCCCATTTTATGTGGAAACAAGCCCGGAGGAAGAGTGGCCTTGAGTTCCACTATTTGAAAGCTCTGGTGGACATGCTGTGCTGGGGCTGAGATAGGTTCCTGGCCACCTCAGCCAAGCAGTCCATGACACCCATAACCATGGCCAAAGTGTAAGAGACTGAAAATAACGACGAGAACTCTGCCCCAGCTGCAGGATGGAAGGTTCCACCACCGTGGCAGTGGCCCTGCAATGGCCAGATTGTCCTGCACTGGTGCTGCTTCACCCATCTCCATCACCTCAGCAGCCACCCCTGACATGGTAGCGGCCTCCTGCTTGCTGGCAGCTCCAGCCATGAGTTTTCCGTGCTGTCCAAGAGGCTGCTATCACTGCCATTCTACTTGATGTCACCACCACCGGCTGGCTCAGGGTCCCGTTCACAGGCCACCAACACCTTCTGCTGCTTCTTGACCATGTGTTGGACAAGGTATAAATACATTTTATTGCATAAAGGGCTGTCGAGCAAATATGGGTATCATGCATATCTAACGTTGCAAGCGTAGCAAAAGCAAACAAGTCACAACCAAGAAAGTAATGAGCTTGACCAACTGCATCAGTGTTGTCAAGATCAATGAAACATGTATTAACCCAACTCTCTCTGCTTGTCCCAACTCTATTGTCGACTCCTCCCAGTTGCATACTTCTTTTATCACTGGCAACAAATACCCGAGGAAAAAGGTAATTCCCATCCCCCATAACAGCAGGGGGATTGAAGTTTGAGATAATGTCATGTAAAACGGGCATTAATGGAACAGCAGCATATGTGAGAATAGGCAAAAGTTAGTGCCATAAATGAGATGTGAATTCTTCAGTGGCATGCAGAAATTTTTTTAAAAAAAATGAAGTATTGAATTTTGAAGGAAGTATTAATTCATACCATATTCCTCAGCACTGCCAACCATCGAGATGGACGAAGTGGACATGATGTGTACAATAAGCGAATAATAGTCGAACGAACCAATGCTGCTATTCTACACATTAGGCAATTAAATAATTAGCACTACACTATACACAAAAATTTCTAATGGAGAAAGATTAGATTGAATTCTAACAGCAGACAGAGTAACGAAGTGTGCAGAAATACTAAATAGTACCATATGGATAGCAGACAATGTTATGAACCTGAGTTCATAATAGTACCAAAAAAATTATACTGCTTAGCAGCACTTTTGTGCATAGCCAGTTCCGCTATAGCCAGAGAACTAAATAGGAGGGCCTGAGCTACATGTAAATTAGCAATGTGCCGATATACGTATTACCAGAACACGAGATGGAACTGCACTACTGCAAGGCAAAGAATAGTGTTCTGCACCTGAGTCTAGAGAACAACTCTAAAGCTCCCAGAAGGACTGGTGCTCTTGTGCTCCCAGTCCACTATTATGTTTTGTTGCCAAGACTAAATGTCTCTGTTGTGTAAATCCATCATGTATTCCTTTTCCACATATAAATTTCCATGTATGTAAAATGAACAATAGTTGAGTGTCTTTGGTTCATGACCATATTTGGTCCACCAAAATTTCAACGGATAAAACTGTCCATAATTTTGGACTTTTGGTTGCCCACATTTGGCCAAAGTTAGCCAACAAAATGCATGGAAAATGACCAAGGAGTTTTGGCCGGCCAAAATTTTGGCAACCATCCAAGAGCATACATCACTTACTAATTACCATATAACATTCCTACTAATAGATAGGATACCAACTGACTAATCCCTATCCTAGGAAACTAATTGATTATTTAGGGAAATAGAATATTTTGCCTAGTGCAGTATAAATCAAATATGCAGAAAAAAAAAACATACTCAGAGTCAGTTTCCTCATCAAGCATGCTGAACAGATTCTCTTCAATGTTCTGATTGATCATAGCAGCCTGACAAAAAGATTCAGAAGCAAAGAAGTATATGCATTAAATTGTGTGGAATTATGCCAGAACAGAATTCTGGCTAAAAATCACATTAGAACTTTTTGCTTTAAATATGTTAGAAAACTGCTGTGAAGAAAGATGTTTGCTCAATTTTATTCAAGTAGAAGACTTATCTACTATTCCTATATAAGTAGCCCCATTGGCTACGATTACATGGAGACACATCATAAAAAATGTCACAACTGTTGGATCGTAGTACATACTAGATATCAGCCATCAGATACAATTGGAAGGCCACTAATTAATTAATTAATTAACAAACCATCTAACTGTCAAAAGTATATTAAAAAACAGAGCCCACATAACATTTGTCATAAGAACCCAAATATTGTTGTATATCAATCCATATATTTGTATAGAAAGTTATTGACACAAAATAGCATAGTGATGACTACTGACTAGTGAGTGATGACCCACAGACTGTTACTGAATTTTGAGCCACACAAGATTTCATCGTTTATACCAAGAAATTGCTAAATCCAGATATGTTTAACAGATGTGATGTAAGCCAACTGATCTAAATGCTCTTCAAGACAAACAAAGATGTTGGCACTTGGCAATGTATTTTAGTTGCAGTGAAACAAGCAGCAGTTTCTAGCTTTGAAAAAATTGGCAACAGATAAGGGTTTAGGGTTTAAAAACTGATACTTATGTTATAAATAGGTATTCTATAGCAGGTTAGAGGAGAACCGAGGAGGCGAGGACAGTGTGCATCAAGTAATCAGGGTGATTGCAAAAATAATAACACAAATAACACATGCACTCATGTGCACCCTCATGCACAAAATGGGACTCAGTCCCAACTGTAGGGCTCCAAGACAGTCTTAGACTTGGCCAATGTGGCCTATATAACTAGCATGGTTATTAAGGCGGTATGGCGAGCTAAGGCGCTGCACACCCGCCTCAACGCTATTACGGTATAGCGGTATGGCGTGGCGATGCCCTAAGAATAACTCTGCTAGCGATCAGAGGAGAAATAGGGAATAATCTGGTATGGAAAATATAAAAAATGGCAAAACAGCCCATCAAACCAACCCTCATACCGGCCCACAAAGCCCAATAACCTATTAGGTCAAACATCTATACCCTAAAAGCATCGTGCATCAGATGTCCACAGCCGCCGCCACATGAGAAAACCAAGCGAAGAAAAGAGGAAGGAAACAGGAGCCAAGCTGAGCAGAGGAAGGAAGAGGTGAATGGAGCAGTGAGGATGGCAGCAGGGAGGTGAGGGAAAGAGATCTGCCGCAACCAGAGCTGATGGTTATGGGAGTCGTGGATACTGAGACGTCGTCGCTGCTGCTAGGGTTCCAGATAAGATGGAATCCTCTCTCCCTCTCTCTTTCTTTCTTTTGGTGATGTTTTGGGTCACCATAACCCCCCTCCTCTTCTCTCCTGGCATGGGATTGGGGTCGCCATAATCCCCCTATTCTCTCCTGGCATGAGATTGGGGTTGCCATACACTGGCTGGTATGGCGTCAGGACGCCCTGGAGCCAGCAGAGTGCCATGACGCCTTCGCGACGCTATGGCGACGCCTTAGCGATGCCTTAAAAACAATGATAACTAGCCAGGTTCCCACGTTGACTGGGACACTGGGTCATGGAATAGGACCACGGGAGACTCACAGATGCCTCAAAAATCTGGATAAAGGTTCTTCAGAACACTAGTTCAATATGCAGAATGTAATCCAATGGATCTGGGTCAATGACCCATTAAAGAGAGAAAAAAAACTAAGATAAAACAAGCAAAACACATTATGGTGTGCATTTGCCAAACATATACAGAAATCAACTAAGCATTATCCACAACATAAACTGAAGATCAACCAAACATTCCACAAAGGGAAAAAGGACAAAAAGTAATGGCTGGCCTCTGACCTGCTACCCAACCAGCCTACATTCTAGGATGCATAGTTGTTAACAGAAAAAATGTTACTCCTTGAAAGTTCCGCATGTACCAAACAATATGCATTTGAAATATGGCATTCAGAAAAAGAAAAATCATCATTCCCTTATTATGTACTCCCTCTGTCCATGAATACAAGGTATTTTAACCCTCTCCATTGTCCACAAATACAAGTGATTTTTAAGTACTACTTGCCCCATCAATCACATCTCATTCAAATTTCTTCCCATCTTACCCCAACTACTCCTCTAACGCAGTTTGAGGGAGCTTAAGATTCTGAAAAATAGCTGGTTGGTAGTCAACTTCTGAGAATCTGGAGAAGCCGGGTTTCACAGCTTCTGGCTTCTAGTTCATTTTTAGTATTCTACAACTATAGTTTTTCAAAATCTGGAGGACAATCTAGACTGTTTGGGGGAGCTTCTGATTCTGGAAGAATCTACAGCTGTCAGAAGCTCCCCCAAATAGGCCCTTAATGAAGGGCACCATAGCCTTTTCTCCTTATCCTTAATCTCTACAGCAGTACTTAAATATGTTATATTTGTGGACGGCGGGAGTACGTTGCAACGAAAATTCACACGAGAAAAATAAGAACTAATATCACGATCATGAAAATGGTGTTAACCATGGCCAGCACTTGATCAGAAATATTGTATAAGGAGAATCCTGTTTGCATGCCTTACCGGATCTCTTTCAATCAGATGGCGTAGTGTCGACACTGCCAAATGTCTCAAGCTTGGCTGTCACAAAAATATCCAGAATGAGAAAGCAAGTGCTAACAACAAGGTACTCTGTAAACAACCATAGCATTACTTACCTGTCTTGAGTAAAGAGTTGGGATAAGACTTTGAACATGGGAATGCACAGGAACAGCTTGAGGGGCAAAAAGAACAAGCTGCTGAGCAAATCTAACTGATCTGCAGTTTTCAATAAATGTTATATAAATTCCATAACAAAAAATACTCTAGAATTGCATCAAAATTTGTCCAACCAACTGCTTGTTAAATTAAACAAAGGCTAGCTGTTTATGTCAAATTACATACTCTATAAGCGTAGCCGTTTCACTTGAGGAACTTATCTCTGCAATGACAGACTGAATTTTAAAATATTAGTTATGTGGACCAACTTCTGAAGACATCAAAGCAAGGAAATAGTTACAAGCCATTCTTTTAGGCAATAATTACTCTCCCCATTACTAAATACATAGTATTGTTTTTGCTTATAGAACAAGAATTGGTCAAGGGGGAAGCCATTAGTATTTATAAGGAAAGCATGCTACAAATGTAACGTGAAATGGCAGACTAACATTTATTTAGTAATAAAACTGGAATGCTAAAACAGCATGTGCTCACTAATGGTGGGTCTAATAATAGCAGGATCCACTGGAAAAGTATGTTCTGACTTTTTTTTCTGTAGTAGTAATTACACGAAAACTTTACGGAGAAAAATGCACAACCTTGCAGCGTGAAAAGAATGTGCTACCAGGAGCAAGTTCAGGACCAATTACTGCTACTATTGCATTGATAAGATGACCTATTTCCTGCCTAAGATCCACATATCCATTTTCTTCCAATAAAAGAATTTCCATAGCAAGGAAAAGCGTCCCCTGTGAAACAACATATCAAAGCACCCATTACAAATTTACAATCAATTGTATTCACAATGTTTCAAACTTGATGCTCAAAAAACAAAAATAATGTTTCAAACTTGTTGCAACCAAATAAACACATAAAATGTGACAATAAAATTGAATTCCAGGAAGCAGGTATTTCCGCTCTGTATGAATGTATGCACTGTACATGCAAAGCAGTATAGGATGCTTATATAATTATACGGCCCTCTAAAGCACTCTTCATGAATAAGTATTTGTGTGCAGTAATCATTTATGGACATAAAGCAAGGAAATGGTCATCAGCTCAAATATTTTAAGCCAGGTACCACCATGATGATGTTGGATGTTTTTCTTTAGTGGTACCTGATGTAAATTCATGTCATATAAAATTTCCATGTTTATATGTTTTTCTCCTTGTGTAATTCTACTCTTTGGTATAACCAGGATCAAGCATTATGACAACGCAAAAAGATTAAAAGAAAGTTATTATTTGACCTCCCTTTGAGATGGACACTAGTCAAGAATGTAGCTATGATCCTAGTGGCTTATACCTATATACAAGGAAAAATATTTCACTAAACTATACTTAAATATTTCTGTTTTTTTCCAAAGCCTGACACTATGAACAGAACAGTGTGTAGACAGTTTGTGAATAAGGTCACTAGATCAGTCTGTGAGGTATGTCCAAAACAACATGACTCTAATTCCTGGCATGCCAGTTATTAGCTCCTCTTTTCCAGGATTTGCCACTAAAAAAAGCTGGTGGATGGAGGGATAACAACCTTTCAGTGGCTTCCAAGGAACTTAAATTAATTTTACCTACACTAGACAGCCACAATTATGGCATTTTCTTGTGCATGAAAATATGTTGAGAAAGTGGTAAGTAAGATTGTATAAAAACAGGCATTGATAGCCGAAAGCCCATGCACCACCAGCGTATCTGCCACTACCCCCACAAGGTCTGAACACATGCGATTTAAAGAAACAGAAATCTTGTTCTTGCACAGATTATTATGGTATTCAAATTATGACTGCAGGGATCAATACCTGAACTTGGGAGACATAAGACAACCCAGCAGCTTCAATTGTTAAAAGAAGAGCATGAAGCGACCACAACTGCAGATTGGAATTAGAACTCTTACTCAAATGAGAGAGTGAGCTCACAGTAGGAGTAACAAGAGTACATAGTGCCATTCCTCCTGCACTGTACCCAAAAAACACATCATTGCAATGGTTCTCCATGTCTCAAACAGTTATCATACAGCCAAAAATGAAATTAAGACTAAATAGTCTAAATGCATTTCTTGAATCCATCTAAACATGCAAGTTAACCCTGGAACTAATAGCATATCTCAATGAAACAATAGATCTATGAATTACAAATTTAGTATGATTTAAACTTTTTGAAGATCAAGCCAGTGAGTTAGCTCAAGCTCTGACCCTGATCAAGCTTGTTATGCCTTTACCTCATCCTTAAGCAATAAAAGTGAAGAAATGTCTGTCATGTATAACAAAACGCAATGATGAACATATTAAAGTAAGATGAGGATGTGAGGGGCTGGGGGCATATCAACAATAAACACAAGATCACAAGTGAAACAAGCAAGCTCATAAATTCAATGGAATGGAAAAAATAACACAACGACGTGGAAAAAATAACACGACGACCAAGAGAAGTTTTTAAGATATCAAACTTACGCTCGATGTATGCAGCCTAACGAGAGTGTAACTGATGCTGTATAGCTCAGATCAATTGGTGTTATTAGCTCTCCAAGAAGGGAACGAGCCTAGAAAATTGAAGAAAACGTCAATATTATTGCATCAGGTGTGCCATGCCCATCTCATCCAGATGAGGCCTTGAGATTATAAATTTCTTGAAATGATAATATTTTGTATAAATTAACAAGATAAACATACAAGATTTATTCTAACACAGTCCATCAAATGGATAGGAAAGAAGTAATCAGTGCTAGGAAAAAAATAGAAATATACTTCCTCCGTTTCACAATGTAAGTCATTCTAGCATTTCCCACATTCATATTAATGCTAATGAATCTAGATAAATATATGTCTAGATTCATTAACATCAATATGAATATGGGAAATGCTAGAATGACTTACATTGTGAAACGGAGGGAGTAATTATAAACATTCGCATTTCATTATAAAAATGCTAGATTATGTATCCCACTCAACAATTTCAAGCTGCTTCTTTCCTATGATTAGTAGTTGATGAAAACAAGATAGTTACATCTAAGCAGGCCCTTTATCTGACATTTTATACTAGACAGAGAATGTAACAATAAAAATCAGACAACTTGAACCATTACACAAAAATATGTATTCATACAAATAGAGATCAATGTTTATAGTTGAGAAAGTTTTCCAAATGATAAGTTAATTTGGTTGAGCAAGCATTCATAAAAAATTGTTGACTGTGAAATAACATCAATTTTATTAAAAGAGCAACAGAACCATATTCAGTTTTCAACAAACAGAAGTAGTACTAAAAAAAACTAGTGACAAATGAAATGATATAGAGTTTCTATCAAAGTAACAAATCAAAAAAGAAATAAAGCAGATATATATTAACAATAACAAAAAAAAATAACAGCAAGCAAAATCATAGTTAAGAGGCAAACCATCCTCGCGGTGAAGGCATCATTCCCAATTCTTGCTAACAAACCAAGACCTTCACATGCTGCTCGTCGTTGAGCTGTAGAAATTTCACTCTCCAGTAGAATCCCCTGATGTAGAAATAACATTAAATTTGCAAAAACAAACATTTTTTTAATTTCGAGTTTTGCATATGATGTATAATACTACCTTGAATGTTGATTGAACCATACTTAGTATATCAGTTGACAATGATTGAGCACCACGTAAAGTCAGAAACTCCTGAAAGATAGCAATATAGCATGATAATATTAGAAAATACGAGAAAAAAATATTGTACGCTCTCAGCTCATAACAAATATTCAGTGTTTCATACAGTGAACTATAGTGGATTCATCACCCCGTAACATAAACTATGTACAAAATCTCTACCTCTCCAAAATCATAGCTAATTATCTTAATACAAAGATACACAGTTTTCCTGCGTATTGTTCAAAAAGACACTCGCAGTTAATAAAGCTACTGTGAAACCATCGGTCCCTTGTACCACACAATAAATTTAAGCACCAAGTCACATAAAGTACATTTTTAACAAGTTAACCAATATTCAACACATGTTCATTTTATACTTAGGTAAAAAAGTCAAAAATATGATAAGTTCCCATCTAGTCCTATTATTTTTTTTACTTAAATAGCAAATTAAAATTATGACTTCAAATCTTACATGTTTAAAGTTCAAAGAATTTTGATTTGTTATACAATCAAAATTCATATTTCAGCCATTTACATCTATTTTGATGTATTACAGCTTTTAGATGTGAGCACTATTGAATAATTGTATCTTTCTTTGTCAATGCTACCTACCCTGTTAGAAGCTCTTATGGTGTAGTAACATTAAAACAAAAATAATTACCCTTTCCTATGCAATAGCATGTTCTACGTAGCAGTGCCACAGTAATCATGATCTAAACATTTCGAATATTAGATGTACCTTCAGCCCTGACAACAGAGCAACACAAGAATTTGTAACAACAGTCATAAACCAGGATTGCTTCTTCCCGGACTTTAGGCACTGGTCAAGATTGTTTAGGAGTCTTATCTTGACAGTATTGTCCTGTCAGTACACATGTTAACAAAGGGAAATGATAAAAGATCAGTCAGAAACTTACAGAATTTTCAATCAAGAAAACTGAATAAACCTCTGGGGAGTGAGATCAAGAGTACACCTGACAAGCAAAGATGGAACCGTAGCAGAGAAGCATCTGGTTAACGAGCATTTTGCTAACTGATTCTGGCTTCATATGAGAAAATAAATATAGTTAGCCCATTAAGAATATGCACCTGACAATTTAATGTCAATGGGATTGAAATGTATGAGCATTCAATAGCAAGAAGCTTAAGTGAAGTATGACAAAATATAACAGAAGTTGCCAATGAATCCCTTGTATATTTTTGGGACATAGGTAGTAATGATTTTTTCCAGCAACAGTAAGACATTATTTTTGCTGCTCCATGGACCTCAAACCTCCTTGACCATATCTGCTGCCACTTCCTTCTATGTGCTGTACTTTTTTCCCACTCTCATCAGGTTTTACTCTTGGTATGTTAATTAGATATTCCTTAGTTATAATGTAACACCCTTGTAATTTTTCCCATGTATAATTCCATTGAACTCCATTTTTTTTCAGTTCAGAAGTGATACTTATTTTTCTGGATTTTGCGGTGTTTTATTTAAATTGTGATTTTTCTATTTGATTTATTGCATATTGTGGATTTTAAATTTTTTCTGATGTTTTTTCTTGACTGTCAAATGGTGTTGACCTCATGGGAGTAGCGAAAGCACATCATAGACAGAAGAGGGCAAAACAAAGGGTATTTGGTCGAGTGACAGGAAGCAGATTATAGATCCAAGGGCAGCAAAAGAGAATTTTTCTCACAACAGAAAGATCATGGCACTATGGCAGTACAAAAATAACATGTATAACTGAGTGTGATTTACAAAACCAGTTCATGATATTTTAGAATAGTAAACCTAGAGTGTTGTTCTTCAGTCTGGACACACAAATTGGTATATCAGAGTTTTAAGCAAGCACAACTGCACAAGTATATTGATTGTTGAACTGAGCAAACAAAAGATAGCTACCTGAGGAAAGTTGCTCATTTCAACATCCCAGACACATGGTAGAAATCCATCAACGCCACCATCAAAAGCTCGTAGTTCATCCTCAAACGAATCCCTGATAACCAATAAACCATCAAAACTATGCCTAGAGGATTTGGTATATACTTCAATATAGCAAGAAGTCATACTTGAAAAACTACCTTCCAGGTATCCATGGACCCAACGAATTATCTCTCTTATCCAACAAAAACTTCAAGCATGAGCTTTCTTCCCATCCAGAAGGGTCACTAGTTTTATGAATATTGCAGAACGAGTACAGAAATTAATATGGGCTATACACAAATTTGAAGATAGAAACTGTGGCATAAATTTTCAATGTTCAGATCAAGCCAAGAAAAAGGATAAGCAATATGGAGTTTAATAGCAGGCTACACAAGTTATATTATATCAAGAATTCATGTAGGAACATTCAGATCATGAAGCATATGTGAATAAAGCAACATATGCAGTATAATTTGAAATAATCAGGAATCACCACACCATAATGTTGAAAAGATAACGGTGCTGTAGACAAAATAATCATGCAAAATTGCATATTAGCATTGAGCGAGGCCCAGCAACTTATTCTTCATTTGATTGTGTTGATCAAAATTTAAGTATGCCAAGCAACCTACTTGAAGTTTCCTTTATTTAAATATGATCCATGTTCTAAGACTACTCAAGTATTTACAATTTCTAGAAATATAATGAGAAATCATGCACCTACAAAAGTTACAAGAGCATCAACTAAATATTTGGTTCCAATTTTCGCAAGCATCAACTATAGAAGGTTCTGTTATACGTCAGCGTCATAAAATAATTGAACCACAAAACCACAATGGTACAAAATTGTACTCCTGTCATCAATATGTTAAGTTGCTTTGATAAACAACCTAGTTGGCTAATCCTGCATGATACGGGGTAGTAGAATACATGAGTTATTGCAAAAGTGTTTAATTGCAAACAATTTTGAGCTGCCAACAGTGTCAGATATACAAAATAATACTGTGGTGGAAAACCACACAAAATCAAATTCAGGGCTTAAGAGTGGCAGGAGGGCTCAGGAAAAAATATATATTCCGAAGAAGCTGTCTATGTTCACTATATTCAAATGTTTAGACATTTAACATTTAATGCATGCAGTATGATTTGTGAAGGATAAAAATAACAAAGCAATGACATTCAAAAAGAGTACACCACCTGAATGGGCTTGAGCACAGCTGAAGCATCTGCTGGTGCTCAGATTTGTAAACCATTGGATTGGAAAGAGACTGATATGCCATCAATGTTCTAGTAGTGAAGAGGTTCAGTGCAGAGTTCACATTTGGCAATTTCTTAGAGCTCAATGAAGATATAAGGGATAAAGCTCTGCATCATATAGGTTGAAACTTAGCCACTGTAAGATATAATATAGACTAGAACAGGGAAGATTCAGCTATAACTTTTACGCACCCACCAAGGTAGGCCAGCACAGGGTTAAGCAGAATTCCACCGTTGGCATTTGTCATAATTGGAGAGACAAAACTTCTTATGAAGGCAGTAAGTGCCTCAATCGCAACAGACAGGACACTGCAGCAAACAAGCTAACCAATCAGTGAATATATAATTGACTGGAAGGTAAACAGAACAATTGCAGTGAAGTAGTGAACTGATGTTGAGGAGATATCTGATGCAAAATTATCATATTCACTATTGTGTATGGTACACTCTAACCGTTAAGATAAGTGATGAGAACCTAAACTCAGCGGTTAGGTGAACTTTGGATGGCTAGATCAAGCCAGCTTGACGGATTGTGGGGAGCATTAGGGGGATGACCAATTACATGATTGTCAGCAACATTAGTGGGATGACAATCAATTACAAGCCACTTTCTAACAACAGCTTTTATAACTTAAAGTACAACTTGGACTGAAAGTCAGAGTAAAACCGCAAGAAGGAACTAAACCAATTCCAAAATATAGGAAACGGAAAGAAACAGTGCTTGAGATTGTTATGAACTTATAAAACTTCTGAAAAATGTATTGCAGATCTATTGAGTGTGAATTGATATCCCTCAAGCTGTTAACAAGGAATTGGTAACTGTGCCATTTGATAAGTCATCATCTATCCATCAAGTATGGTTCAATTCAAATAAGCTGCAGATGAACATACGAACATGATGACTGCACCCTCCATCCCAAAATAAGTTCATTTTTCACCCATCCCACACATACCAATACAAACCCAAAGAGACCAAAATACCCTCACTTTCTCAAATCCCAATGCAATTATTCCTCTCTTTATCTATTCCCTACTTTCACAAACTCGGATGCAATGATTACTCAAAAATGTTCTTTTTTCACCTTATGCTAATTGTGGAGTAACATTTAAGCCAGTTTCATATTACATAATAAAGTGTCATGGAACAAACAGATCTATCACATGTTGCTAAGTGTCATAGTAGAAATAAACATAAAAGAAGATATGAGCTTAGGAAGCTAGTAGTTGATGAAAAACAAACCGCAATTCTGATGCCCAATCCTGCACATGGCGAAGGTATGACTCGGGATTTCCAGTAAAGGGACCAGCCCATAGTAAAAGAACATCAAACACCTGGTCTTCCAGCTCCTGAATACATGCCCACAGAAAAAATTACTACTACAAAAGTTCATACAAGTTTTACATATAGGACACAGTATCTTTAATACCTCTTTTGGCATGGATGCTAAAAGAGACGCCAAAAGCAACCAGCCGGCTTCACGCTCCGCACTAGCAGCCACTGGATTTCGGCTGAAACCATTAAGCATCTTTTTGGACACTTCAAGAACGGACTTGGGCAGTCTGTGCATTTATTAAGCAGGCAAAATAAGACAAAGTATTAATATTTCAGAACAGGGCATTATTTCCATTAACATAAGAATGAGCTTATAAACTGTTCTGTACAGTAGTATATAAATGGGCTAAACATCCTTTTTAAGGATACTCCCTTAAAAAGGATGCCAGACTGCGGCAACTCAAAGAACAATGTTAGACAAATAAGGATGGATAGAGAGTCCTATTGACAGACTGTCAGTTCATCTTTGCTTTGCAGATAGACGAACCAATCAGGTTCTCAATGCAATTAACTTGCTAACAGCCAAGCTTAATTCAGATATGAAACAACTAACGAATACAAGACAATTAGCGTGCAACATAGTGCTGAACCAACTATACACCCACCTAAAATTTGCCATAGGTTCCATTGTCACTGATCGAGCTTAGGAATATAGCAGCTAGCTTATCTCACATCACCTTTCGAGTGACTTTCTAAAGTTGGCAAAAATGCAATGAGAACATAATATAAAAAAAAAAAGACTGCTAGCAGTCTAGCAAACCACTGCAAAACACAACTAGTGAAAAACGTATAAGATGACAATCTTGAAATCAGCACCCACTAAATAATCTTGCACTTTTCCATTTTTTATGTGGGAGAAAACAAAGAATGCGCTATGAAGATGCATAATAAAGGCAGACATATATTTGACCAGAACTGCATCCTTTGTTTACCTATAATCAGGTATTACAAAAAAAAATATAACATAGAAATTATGATAAAATGAACCTTGCAGGGTAACCAAGAAGTAACTTTGGTGAGATTGCAACAAGAGCAGCTAATACACTAGCTTGTCCATGAAGCGAATCGAGCTCAAGATTCATAATTTTACCCTGTTTTAAGCAAATTTGACAAGATGATAGAAGTTAGAGTACTAAAACTGTAGCATTGAAAGGTGGTGACAAAACAATAGTGAAGAAGTAGCAAATAATTTATAAAACGATTTTCCAAAAAGTCACTGAGAAATATATTACTCCACAAGAGCTAGATAACAAGCTATAGATAAGATCCATTGGAATTTTTAGGTCAATACTAAATTGCCAGACTTGTAATGACGGATAAGGGCAGTTTAGTAAACAGTACAAAGCCTGGTCCATCAATTCTGAAAGTGAAGCTCTGACCATCCCAATCCCGTACTCTGCTCTAGTTTCAGAAGTACGTATTACAGCCATTTTCACCGTGCAATGGTTTATAGTTATTTTTCAACAGCACAAAAAGATTAGGAGTATATCGTAACATGTTCACACTAAACAGCTGCTGTATTTTTTTCCTTTTTTTTTGTGACAAGTAAACAGAACGAGAGGCACCTACTGGCAATACAGCTTCTGTATATTATCTCCTATAGGAAAATTGTGCTGCAAGCCAGCAATATGCTAAATATTGCTTTAACATATTGGATTAAACTCTAGTTTCAACATCATAGTAACTGTGTTAATATTTATCGTTTTTTCATGCAATTTTGATACTAAAAAAACATAGATCACTCAGGGATCAGAATCGGTAGAGCTTGAGCATATGTTGGTTATTAACATATATTATTGGATATAACTATATATTCTGGATACTGGAAGTGAGCATAGCGAATAGCCAAATACAAATATGAAACTTGTAGGTAAAGATTAAACAACATTAGATGTGTATGGCAAGCAACTGATGAATATTATTATACCTTATCAAATGATAAAGTCTCTGTGAGGGCATGTAAGGTTGTAATACCATATGAAACTAAACCACCAACACAAGTAGGATCAACCTCTGCTAAAGCACGTAATGTTAAAGCTGCCTCAACACGAACCTATAAAATTGCAAAAGAGGAAATCAATTTGCAGGAGATGCCAAGGTATTGTAGCATAGTTAATCAAAAAAAGATAAAGCACATGTATTGCAAATAGAAAGTGATGTATTCAACTTTAAGTCAAATGAATTGCACTTAAATATTAGAAGATAAGTTTATATCAGTCTGTACCATATGGAATGTTCAAAAGTGCAGTTCAAGACAAGACATGCAAATAAACTAGGAATGTTTATCTTTCAAAGGCAGAAAGTATGACCACTTTATCAGTAATTAGGACTAAATATGGAAAAGTTTCTCCATATATCCAAGGTTGTCAGTATCCCAATACGTATCATACTCCCTCCATCCGAAAATAAGTTCATTTCTAGCCTCTACCATTTGTCCCAAAATAAGTTCACTTATATCCCCTTACCTATCCACCCATCAATACTACTCTGTGATAATTTGAACACCAATGGCTAGAAATGAAGTTATTTTGGGACGAAAGTTGTAGTATCTTATCGATACTACGATCCTACCAAGCTAAAATGATACCCGATCCCACCATGCCTCCTAATTTTCGTAGTATCCCCGAATATTATTATTACCTAATATAATAATGTAATATCCATTACAAATACACAAATATTGTTACTACCTGATCTATTCAACCAGGAATTCGACCTGTTATTAACGCCAGTATTTCTGCTTTCAGAGTAATGCAGTGAAATAAGCAGTTGGCAAATCAAAACTGGAAAAGCTCAATTCACATTTCACAAAGATACAAGCCTTTGGACAATTCACCTCTGATCTGGGTAAATAACTAAGAATCAATTAGAAAAGGTTCAACCATTACTGGAATTTCTTGTACAATCCCAACAGAACCTCCTAGCGGACAACCTTTTTATGTAAAGGTAGGGTTTTAAATTTTACGGAAGAAGATCAAGTTTTCCCTTTGATGCTCACCAAACAGTCCGGTTTGTTTCCGTGGATCACAGTGAGCATTCTTGGTAATACAATGTCAGAATAATGCATACTGATACCAGGCTACCTGTGTAATTTACTCCAAACTATTTTATAGGTGTTTAAAAAAAGAACAGATGAAGAGCGGACTATGATGCATACCCACAGAGTAAAATATGAAAGTACAATGGCGCAAGGAACTGAAGGAAGTAGTTCTGCACCTACAAAACTACATGTTCATTTACCCTCAATGAGATATTTGGCCATTAAAGTTAAAGTAGCATAATTCTACAGTACACATCTATGATGTTTACTGGGTCTGTTATAGAAGAGATGATATGAAGTTGTAAACAGCCTAACTCATGTACTTGTAAATCTTAATAGAAGAAAATGAAAATGCCAGGGAAGCTATGTCATAACATACGTGAGCTGAAGAGTGGGATAATGCTGCGACTACTGTATTGTCAAGAATATCCTTGAATTCAGATGGAACCTGCACGATAGGAAATGTGATGCATGTATAGCATTGGTAAGAAATGCCCAATAAGGACTTTCAGCTCTTGCCAAAGATAAGATAAACACACACTTAAAGTAATTGCAAATGCATAAAATATGCTATTGTTACCATAATCACTTGGTTGGGTTATCCCATTGGAGGGTGTAAACAAAAAATAGAAGCCAATTAATGATATGAAAGTGTAAATACCTCACCCAAGCTTCTTAACAGGTAAGACAGAATGCGTAATGTTGCCACTCTCATCAGGGCTGTATAATTTGAAGACTCCAACTGTACACAGCCATGCACATAAAATTATAATGTAATAAACTCAAATATATTTAACTGTTTTTGGATCAAAAATAATTTGTCAAACCTTTCTTCCCAGAAATACCAAAAATTCACGTTGTGTCGGCTCTGTCATCTGGTCTGCAACACCAACTCGGAGAACATATAGAACACATGCCTGGGAAATTAAAATATAGGAGCAATAAGAAACTTGAACTGAAGTTCAGGTCCAATAACATTACAGTACCAATATTTCATATGCCACACTTGCTCAACAACATAACACCAGTATTAGAAGCTTTTTGAGAATAACCATGCCACTGCTGGTATTTACCAGCTGATTCCAAAGAATATCAAAGCAAAATTTGGTTAGATGCCAAATAATGTTTTCTCAGATGGTTCAAAAATCCATCTAAATTTTCTATCTCGGAAAGGGAATTGTTTTAAAACAGCTAAACCAAATTGTGAATTAGGCTACCACCTCACATTTCATGAAATCATAAAAATCATGTTGAGACCAAAACAAACAAAATGGATTACCAATGCATGTGGATCAGGAGAAGCATTCCCTTGGAGAATTTCCGTAACTTGTACAGCATAGTTTTGAAGTTCACTATCTGGGGTACCATATTTCATATGAATCATCTGCACCACATAACCCTTGTTAAAGGCAAAAACATCATAAAAAGATGAATTGGGATGCCAAACCATTATAATTCAAAGAAAAAGAGAGAACCTCATAATGTAAAATGAAAACATAATTGAGTTTCATATGGCTGAATGAGTGGGTAAGATAAACTGTACAAATCGTCAGAACAGGAGAAAATCTACATGATGGTCATACCAGTACATCACTTGGAATAAGATGCTAGAAAGCACTTCTGGAGACATATAATGTAGAAGGATTCTAGATTATTAGATATTCTGCACAGAATTTCTACAGATTGTACATACAAAAAGGTGTGTTGGCTAAAAATAAATAGAGTAAATTTCACAAATTTACAACTTTAGAGATGAAACTCAAATAAGTACTACCCCAAAATATAAGTAGTTCTGGGGTTGGACATGAGGATATTAAGAAAGTAGGTAAAATTAAATAGGAGAAGGTTGTGATTGGTTGAGAAGAGGAAGTAGGTGCAGAAATTAAAAGGTGGAAGGTTGTGATTGGTTGAGAAGAGAATGTAGGTGGAGAAATTAATATATTTTAGGACAAATTTTGAATGTTAGAAGTTGTTAACTTGTTATATTTTGGGTCAGAGGGAGTGTTTATTCTCGTGGCACAAAACTACAACTTCAGAAGAAATATTATCAAGAAACTAAAACTCTGACACATGCCAACTTGACAGCTAGGTCCCACTTGTACTAGTTTGGAGGCTACGACATTGATGTTACATACTACCTCCGTCCCAAAATATAGCTTGTCCAGATTCATAGTGCTAGGAAATCCTTGTCCAGATTCGTCGAACTAGGAAATGTCTCGTTCAATCCTAGGTTCTTATGTTGTGGGACGAAGGGAGTATTACACATTGGCCTGCTATGGAAGGGCCAACCTGGCAATGGCCTCCAGCAGCAACACAGCCCACGTGCAGCATGTGTGTCCCACATGCAGCGTGCATGACTCCCTGAGCAGGAGTATAACCATTCCGGTCGGATACACGCTCAGCCGGCGCAGCTATAAACCAATGTTGAGGGTAGAGCATAAACAGAAGAAGAAGAACCCAACCACGTTGGCATGGCTGTTCTGCTGCTAGCGGTCACAGCCAGGTTGGCCTCTGTGCAGCAGGTTGATGTGTAATCCTTAATAGTGTTGTCCAAGCCTCCAGAGTATGACAAGTAACGGAGTTGTAGCTTCTTGACAATATTTCTTGTACAAGTAGTTTTGTGATAAGGGAACATATTGTTGTAGCTTTTTAATAGTTTCATCAGTAAAGTGTAGGTTGATGAAATTACTCACATAAATTTTGGCTTTTTTAAATGTGATTTTGGACTTCACCAAGAAGATTCCATTTGCACTTATTTTTATTATTATTTTCAGTGGTAAATGAGGAATTTTCTCAATATAATAAAATAAAATGCTACCCAGATGAAATGATGCAGCTTATTGCCACACAAAATATAGCTTTGTCAGTAAAATGGCATTTCGTTGGACAAGTACCATCTCCTCGTTTGCCTCTAATCAGTCCAAGTAAGTTGATGACCATATCCGATGCAACATCATGTGCTCATGACCTCTGCATCAAAACCCCCACCTTGCCACTCCTGGACCCTGGTATTCTCCACTCACTGGTGATGTAGCTGCAGGAGATCATTGAACTTAATGCAGCTGCTCCACCATGGCATTATTGCCAACTCCCTTTGTCATTGTTGTGTCAGTCAATTACTTACCTGTAGTGCCAATCCTTTTCAATAACATTGGTGCACCTTCATTTTCCTTTATCCCTACTTACAGCAAGATAACCACTATAATCACCACCTGGCGTGGGACTAGAATGCACCTGAGCAGCTGAGCTTAGCTCAACTGAAGGACATACAGAAACAAAACAACAAGGGCACTTGGAGAGTAAAAAGAGAAGGGCGAGCACAAAATGTCCTCGAGAATGACATTTGTTGATGAACCTATTGGACTTGGACTCTATCTATTCCATGCTGTTGTCAAGAAGTAACCTAGATAAAGCTCTAGAACACATGCTATATAGTAACAACCTGTTGTTGCACCTGCAGCTACAAGTGAGCAATGCTAATCGCGCTTGTCTCATTAGGAAGTAACATAGTAGATGCAGGCATTCAGGCAATGTCCAAAGGGGCCACTTGTAGCCAAGTGCTCTAAGTAACCATAGATGCAATAGTCCTCACTCAGCCTCAGCACTTGAATGGGAAACTCCAGCAATCAAGAAAGGACAGAGACACAACAAGAAAAGCCTAATGATCAAAAGGATCACTAGCTTAGGTCATATCAAGATATACCTGGTGTTGCAAGGAGTTGGGACCAAGATAAGAAAAGGCACAGAGTGATGGTCCCAGGAAGATACCACAGAACCCAAAGGAGGTAACTATAGTGGTGCATGTGGGTGTAGAAGCGAACTAACTTAGAATGTGAACACGTGAGCTGTTAGGATGAGTGGTGCAAGGTAAATCAATGCCCCCAACAAGGTGGCAATAGCAACAAGAAAGTAGGCTTCTTTACACAGGTACCAGTGATAGGTCAAAGCTGAACGAACCACTCACTGAGATGTTTCTCCACCAAGTCAATGTAGTAGCCCCTGCGGTGGATAGGGTTAGGGTTTGGGTAGGGAAGGGCTATTTGATGCGATATTGGAGTCAAGATTCTTTTCCAGCCTATGGCTAATGGTCATCATCATATATATAAAGCACGCATATTCTGTACAGAACATCAGAGTGGCATTAAGCCAAACCAATATTTCAGGTGTATTTACTAAGCGCCGATCTTTTGAGTGGAATGTACCTTAAAACCCTTACTTTTCATCGCTTGATAAAAATACATTGTATGCACAAGATAATCCAGAATGTTTGTTCTGTATAAGCCCACTACACTTCCATTTCACACTTCCACACGTGCATTACTACATTTGACTATTGTATTTGTTTCATTTTCACTAAGAAATTTTTGTTAATAACTTTTAGCTACAACTATTCTATAGTTAAGTAGCCCACATATGTTTGCTATCTTATATATTTCCAATGTTTTCTTTTTCAAGCTACCTTCTCATCATCTTCCATATCTTGCATATATTTTCCATATCTTATATATTGCATATCTTGCATATATGAATCTAGATGACAAATGTCTAGATTCATTAACATTTATATGAACGTGGGTAATGCTAGAAAGTCTTATAACCTGAAACGGAGGTAGTAGTAAAGATTTGTCCTTTTACAAATAAATATTTACCTGCAAAAAGAACACCCACGATAAAGCCAGACCAATCCGTAATTTCTTTGCATTGGCTCCATTTGCTGGAATTGAAAAAACAAGGAACATTACACTCAATGCACATGATCATGGACTATTCATACACCCAAACTAATTTGTTCATATGTAAAATAGTCTGCATACTTAGGCCAGGTTTGGATCCAGGGACTAAACTTTAGTCCATGATTTGACAATGTAGTGCTACAGTAAATATGTGTTAATCATGGACTAATTAGGCTTAATAGATTCGTCTCGCAAATTAGCCTCCATCTGTGTAATTAGTTTTGTAAGTAGTCTATGTTTAATACTCCAAATTAGTGTCCAAGCATCCGATGTGACAGGGACTAAACTAGGATCCAAACACCACCTTAAACTAGCAATATTTTTATAAAGTGTGTCATAGGTTATATAGCAAAAAAAATCTAAGCATTTCAGAAAATAAAGAAAGTAATGCTTCGTCTCCAGTATTGGGAATGCTAGTTCCCATACATTATGAGGCAAGAACATAACCAAAAGGATCAATGTTTGTTTTCTATACAATACTAGTTGAGAATGACAAAGCTCAATAACAGGTTGAATAACTATGGTTGGATTGACATTTCAGTAAGCACATAATGTAACTGGCACGTTTAACTTTCTGCCTTTCAAGATGCTCTCATGATAGTTTCCTTTCTGAAAAGGAAAAATGTTCATATGATCGGATAGCAAAAATTGGTATCATTTGAGTTTGGCTACAAAAATGTAAACATTCATGTATTTAGGTGTTTTTAATCATATGACAGGATTCAGTTTACCTCTGACAAATGGTAAAATCAAATGCTTCTGTAGACCATCATCAAATTTCTTTCCAGAAGTGCTTTGCTTTTTCACTCCTTTCTTTACCTATCAATGCAATCATATATAAATAAACCGGTAAGAAACAGTTAGGAAAAATGTAAATTTCGCACACCTGAGCATCTGGGTTAACCGCAAGAGCAAGCAAGGAACCAAGCGCTTCCGCAAATGAATCTCTAACTGCTGACACATTATCCTCCAAGCCCTTTAGCATGTCATTAATCAACGAACAGTATCAGGACTATCAGCTTAAAAAAACATAGCAACAACTAGCTCTCAACATGCATTAAGAATGAGAAACAAGGTTAGCAAATACCTTAACGCAACAAGACATAGAAGTATCAATTTCAGCCATCCCCAACCCAGGCCCACCGATATTAGCGAAGGCCTTCAAGCATCGAGCAGCCGCTACTCTGACAATGAATGATTTATCACTCACACCTCCTCGCATGATAATGCGGAAAGCCTCCAAATAAGCTGCACCACTACCACCACCACCAGAACCTTCCAATGCATTCTCAAGCAAGAGGAGTGCATCTTGTCTCACAAAGTCCTGATGTTTCATTTAAGAGAACTGTCAAAATCCTTTTACAGGTAGAAATGAGGCATGACCAACAAAAACAAAAAGGCTGACATCAATCACAATAGTTTTTAAGAGTTTTATGGTTCCACTGGGATACAAAAAAAGAATGAAAGAAAATTTTCCACAAGTAAATGCATTGAAGATTTGTGGTAAGTTCCACCATATTGTTTCAATCCTTATTTACAGAAAAGAAAAATCAAAAAAGATACATGCATCGTAACAGATCTGCTGTACTGCAAGAGAAATCCACAAAAAGACTTATGGATAGAAAACAAAGTTAAGATAGTTTTTCTATAGAAGAATATGAAGACACCAAAAAAAGGATGAAAAGACAGTAAAGAAAGTGCAGGAGAAGATAACCTCATGGTACTTCATGAGTTTTGCTACAATATTTGATGTCTCAATTAAGCCTGCAGTAATCTTGTGTCCAAATAAGCGGTAAATTTCTCCCAGACATTGCGCTACACCTGTTAGGAAATATTGAGTTTTTTTTAGAAGGAGAAAAAAAGTGGATGTGCTTACTTAGATTTCAACATTGTACATCATTAAATGTGTTGCTTGCCCAAGATTGTTTAGTCCAGGATTTGCAATAACTTTAGCATGGGATCAAGGGCCTAGCTAAGAAGATATGGCAGTATACCAGTATGAAACCTAGCTTGTACTAGTCTAATTCATTGAAGTTCAAGCAGTAGTTTTAGGCTTAATACAATGGTAGCCATTATGTCAGTCTATTTTAGGATTATATTTTTAATAGTTTTTGTAAACATATAGTTTGAAAAGGTAATGATAAAACATGCGCATTTGAGATTTGGAGACTGTCAATGTCCAAAGCATCAACTAAAAAATAATGGAATTCTAGTTTCCGATGCAATTTAAAAGAAGTTAAGAAAAAACTAGACAATATGAATTACAATTGCTGACCTGCATAGGCCATGGGATCCGTTCTTTTTCCATCTACCAACCACCCTTGGAGGGTACTCGCTCTTGAGTATACCGATATTGCATCACCTCTCTCGATTATCCTCCCCATTGCTGACGATGCCAATCGCCGAACAGGGCGACGAGCCCCAAGGAAAAGCAAGGATTGGAGAGCATCCTCACATTTCCTTTGCCAAAGCTGTATGGTCTCCTGAATATTATAGGATGTCAGGACCGCCAAAACACAAATTTCAACACCGGAGTTACTAATCCAGTATTTCTGCATATTACTGCTTTTTAGGTAAACATAATCCGAAATTAAGCCTGCAGATGTTGACTCACGCAGTAGAAATTTGCTCTAAGTTGACTTAATGCGGGCAGGAAAGGAGAGACTGGTTTTTCTTTCACTAAGTTCTGAATATTTTTGAGACATGCTCCATGGTTTTGGTTAATTTAGAACACAAGCACCCGAGCATGGTCACATAAAATTGTTTGTTCGATACTTCAATTGCCATCTTATGATGTTAGTACAACTGCACAAGCCTGGAATACTACGACGCAACCGCCAGGGCAACTCACAAGAGATCCATCCAATCCACGCGGCTCCAAGAACAAGAAAGCTCCGCATACGCAACGCCATTCGTTGCGCCACCGAGAGAGAGAGAGAGAGAGAGAGCATGGGCGGGCGTGGGATCTGGGGCGCTAGCGCTAGGGATATAATAGAGGGAGGGAGAGGTGGTATGGTAAGAATGACCTTGGGGGCCTCGTCGAGGGCGGAGGAGAGCTCGGAGAGGAGGTCGAAGCAGAGGAGCGCGTCGGGGGGCTTCTGCCTGGCCGACGCCACCACGGACTCCAGCTGCGCCACCAGCGCGCCGAACCGCGACAGCGGGATGGGCTCGCCGGCGGCGCCACCGCGCTTCGCCATGGTGGGGAGGAGAGAGGAGGAGGGTGGTGGTAACGGGAGGGCTACCGGTTCGATCGAGATCTAGGTGTGCTGGTGCTGTGATCTGGGAATCGTCGGGGGGTTGGGGGCCGTTGGGCGACGGACCGTCTGCTCGTCGAGCTCATCGGACGGTCCAAACGGTTTACGGACTGTTTATTTTGAGCTCTTTTTTTTTATTTTGACCATGCTTTTTCACGAAGTGCTTTTTATAAAAACTGTACTCCGTAATAAAGTAAATCAATATTTTAATATTACAAAATTATTAGTTAATATTTGAGTCGTTATATGCTAATGATCACCTATAGTGTTTTCCGTACCAGTGAGTAATTGATTGGTCAAGCATCTGATTTAGCTAGGGCTTACCGGCTATAGACTTTGTGCGTCAGTGTGCTCATTAATTACCCAATTAATTCACCAGGACAGTAAGGATGGAGCGGCTCATTTTACGATTGACAAAGCTAGAACGCTCCCGAAAATGAGTCTATTGATTATCTCCCAATTGGTTGGATCGTAGGGGCGATGATTTACTTCACGGGCAAGGTCTTTGGTTCAAGTCCAGGATGGCCCAGCTGCGCCAGGGCGATTACCACGAAAACCATGTGGTTACCGCAAGATATACTGTGGTTTTAAAAATTGAGAAGATTACTGCATGTGATAACCTGATAATCACACGGTTTTATAAACCCTGGATTTAACTATATTTAACTAGGGTTATTTGTCTTTTTACTCCCAAATTTAACAGTTAAGGTTAGTAAGAATTAACGGAACAAGAGCAAACGGTTTGATTTGTTTCAAAGCCATTGTTTAGTTCCCAACTTTTTCTTCAAACTTTTAACTTTTCCATCACATCAAAACTTTTCTACACACATAAACTTCCAACTTTTTTTTTCAAACTTCCAATTTTAGTCTTTAAACTTCCAATTTTGGCGTGGAACTAAACACACCGAAAAAAAAGTAGGGGTAAAAACGAAAGAATAAAAAACAAGGGCAAACAATATTGGACATCAAAGCAAGGGAAAAAACAAAATTGCCCCTTTTAGAAAACTCCGAAAAACACCAGTACGCAATTCTAAGAAAAGAGAACCACTTCAACAAAGACTTTTGAGCACTTTTCTTATTCCTAGACATTTATGCAGCATCCCCTTAATAGTATGGCTTTCCTATTGACCCAAGTAAATGAAAATTTACAATTTACCAATAGATTTTGTGCCGCTTTCATCAAAACTCCATTCATAAGAATATTGCATCGAACATCATCTCATGGGGGGCTAATGTTCCTTCAGACTTTCTCAATTGTAAGCATTTGTCCTCACTAATCTGATTGCCATTGACCATCAAAATAGGAGGCTAGATGCACTTCCAGTTGCACAAGTTTTAACTTGTTCATCCGAAAGGTAGGAGTATTGCGGGAATTAGTGACATTATTTATTAACATAAGCATGGTGCTTAGGTTAGTTAAATGTCGTTAGATGTGGGTATGCTCCACGAAAAGTGAGGTAGACATCTGGTGGTGACAACCATGTCCGTCCCTTGTATTCCTCCACGCTCTGGTATGACCTAAGAGTTCGTAAATTACCATAACCACGTTGGTAGACTAATAGGGAGTGATCGAACTAAGTCCTAGCCTAGTTTGTTAGTACTTCCTCCGTTTCACAATGTAAGACTTTCTAGCATTAGCATCTATATGAATGTGAGCAATGCTATTATGTATAGATTCATTAGCATCTATATGAATGTGAGCAATGCTAGAAAGTCTTACATTGTGAAACGGAGGGAGTATGTGTTAAATGTAAACTAAACATTAGCAATATACAAGTACACACGAACCTTAGCTTTCTATAGTTCATTATTAGAGATGAATCTCCTGTGTGTCACGCTAGTCCACATGAGTAGATTGGATCTATATCAGTGTAGGTGCAACGCGGCGTGTGAATAGAACATGGCGCATATTGTCGAATGATCAACCCCCATTACGGTTTCCTGTTGCCCCTTATATAGGTGCGGAGGCCACCGGCTAGAGATGGTGAGGTATCCCTTATAATCTGGGTACCTATCATCTATTTACATTGGATAAGACTGACTGTCTAATCTTCAATCTTTCTTAAAACAAGTGAACCCGACGGACCCAAAGCATATAGTCCATCCCATACGACAAGCTCCAAGAACCATCCCGTGGATACTCAGGCATCATGTACCCAACAGTAATTTTTGAGTACTAAGTTTGATGAAGACTCCGAAATTGATGAAGTCCGCTAGAAGAAGAGGTGAGACTAGCTAAGTACACATCCCCAGCCTAGCCGAGTCAATCTCCCTCAGCCGAGTAATTGTTTCCTTGGGGAGGTATTGTAAACTTTATCAAAAAGATCTTTTGGGCGGAATTTCACCAATGCGGTTCGGCTGTCAATAACGCCATACTCCAAACCAGGCTTGAAGAACACGATGTTTTCATGATGCCACGGCACAATATTTTGGTGTGATCCTACACAATATGCCCGAGAATCCTGTCTTTAACTCGACCGTAGCCTAAGTAAAGGCTATGGTCAAAGCCGCCGTCGTCCAACACCAAGAGATGGCGCCAACCGTCTTCAACACAGAAGCTGAGTCGTCAAGACAATTATTCTGTGGATTCCATGGTGCCATGTGCCCTACAGGGTTGGCAATTTTGCTACGGAATAGCTATATTTATGGTGTTATATATTTTTTTTAAAAAAGTCAACATGTATTTACATTGTAAGTCCCTAAATCACGTATGTAATTTTATTATTTTTTTAATGTAAGTCACAAAATTACACATGTAAATAGAAAATAGAGTGTAAAGTAGGGTGTAAGTAATAAGGTGTAAATTAGCAAAAAAGAATGTAATACTTGATTTCCTCGGAGAAGGTAGTAAAGCAATTTACTGTTAAACGCTAGTAACAAAGCAAAGAAGATTGGATAGTCACAGTGTGTGGAGAAATTGAACGACCGAAAAGAGGCACAGCCGAATACTTGCGGATCAATCGGACGGCTAGTAATACCGACCGTAATCAGCTCAGAAATCTGTCGAAATCTTGTTAGCAATTCCGTTTCCGTTTTGCTACAGTTAGTTTTGTGTTGGGTTGGATTCTAGCAGGCCCGCGTGCCAGTGGGTGTGCGCTCGTCAAACCCGAGAGGAAGAAGAAGGCGAGGCCAGATAGGCAGGCAGGCAGATTAGAGGCAAGGCAGGCAGGCAGGCAGGGCTCGAGCTCCCCCTTCCCACACCCATGTCCTCCTCCGCCTCCTGCCTCGCCCCTCCCCCTCTTCGTCTCCCGTGCTCCTCCTCCTCCTCCCCCTCTCCCGCCGCCGCCGCGAGGTTCGGTTCTCGGAGGAGGGCGGTAGCCGCGGCTGCTCCGGCCAAGGTACGCCGCGCCCGCCCCTCGATTCCGGCTTGATGCGTGCGTGCCGGGGAGTAATTTGAGGTTCTCTTGTCTCTCTCTCAGGGATGGAGGCTGGTGCGCGTCTCCTGCTTCAGGCAGGAGGATGTCCCGACGACGTCTGACGACGGGCCCGGCTTCGAGCACATCTCGCGGCCGGAGAGCTCGCGGGGCGCGGAGGCGAGTGGGGAGGAGGGGGAAGGGGAAGGGGAAGGCTCGAGCGGGCAGCGTGAGCGCGGTTCCGGGGAAAGGGATGATTGGTTCCTCAGAGCGCAAGAGGTTAGCCCTGATTGTTTTTTTCTAGTTGCAAAGCATTCCATTCGAGCTCCTTTTTGTGTTATGAGGAATGGTAGTCAATTCAGATTTAGAAATGCTATTTACTCCCTCCGTTTCATGTTATAAGACGCTTTGATTTTCTTTCCTAGTCAAACTTCTTTAGGTTTGATTAAGTTTGTAGAAAAAAAATAGCAACATCTACAACATCAAATTAGTTTCATTAAATCTAACATTGAGTGTCAAAAGTTTCAATGCATGTTTGTTTTGTCTTAAAAATATTACTATATTTTTCTATAAACTTGGTCAAACTTAAATAAGTTAAACTAGGAAATGTCAAAATGTCTTATAATATGAAACGCACGGAGTAGTTAGATGCTAGCAAATGGACTGTGCAAGGTACCAGCTGGCTGAACCAGTTTCTATACTCTCGTTTCACGTCACGATGCCTGCAATTGTGCAATTACCATTAGAAAACCATGAATCCATAGTTGCATTCTCTCAGTGCCTTGGATGTTTTATTACAGCGGCACATAGATCAGTGTTAAAACTTAATCTATTTAGTTAGATGGAGTTGGTCCACATTTACATATACTGTCCAATTCTTCTAATGCATAATAACTGAAATATGGGGTACACATGAAACACACTCTTATGTTATCCTCTATATGGTCTGTAAAATTTTAATTTTCTATCTACTTGCCTTAAAACACAGAAGCAAGGGAAAGAGCACCTTTTATACATTCAAAGGGAGAAAAGTTGTACATCTGTCTGCTTAACCTCTAAAAATGAGAGATCTGCTGGATAGGAACCTTAACCTATAGAGTAGAAGGATCATATGCAACCACAAGAGAGAAGTTGCTACACTTCCTGATGTTGGGAGAATTAGCAGTATCACCACCCACTTGCAACTCATATTTAAGAACCTCTGACGAACATTACAATCATGCCAATTCTTGCATTTCGACTTCTCTTAAAGGAAATAAGAATCTTGAACTTACCCTATGTAAAATATTTGTACTTTCACGAGTTTATGGTACTGGTGATGTTCCACATCTTAGTCCTTCTTAACCAAGTAGATCTAGGCTTGTAGGCTTACTTCCGAACCAAGCTTAAGCCAAGGACTAAATACTGTACCTATCCTCATGAAAAAAGCTGAAGCCTGTTGTGGGATTATAGCTGCAGCTTGCTTCACCCAGCATTTTGGGATTAACTAAGAAACTTGTTTATTAATCTTAACACCGAGCTGTATAAGTTACTTTTTATGATGAGCACAGTCAAAGTGCAATCGAGGCTTTAGCAGGCAATCTTTTTCCTTGTTATCAAAATGAACAAAAATCTAGATCACTTTATTTTTATTTTTTTTCTCACTAGCAACCTTTTCCTTTACACTTTGCGTTGTACCTAGAGAAAATAATTAATATTTTTCATTAAAAATCAGCTTTTCATGACTGCCAACAGAAGGATAAATGAAAGCTTAATAAATTAGCAACAAATCTCCCAAAAGAATAACTTAATCAATAGGTTTAGCCCTGAATTGTGATTCTTTTTTTTTATGTATATATAGTGGACGTAGCAGAACATTCTAATCTTCTTGCTAAAAAAGTTACTTGTGCATACTGTCCCATCACTAGTTTACAATGCAATTTACTCATACATACATTGTCAGCTAGTCTTGATATTGTATTTTCTTGTCTTCAGTGTTTGTCTTTGTCGACTCCTTATCATCACGTAGGCTTTGTTTTTATCTTAATTTTATAATTTGTCTTGCAGATAAAGAGAAATTTACGAGAAAGAATATTCAGATTTCAGACTCAACGATGGACTGTACCTTGGACCGGAAAAACCATTGCTCAGGTTAATTCTTTACTTCTTCAATCCATGCTCTCGGTGCTCCTTTGTCTATTGCAGTAATAGACACTAGTAGACAGCTAGCTTACAACTGATTTTATCTTAAATGTGCATCATCTACTTAAAATGGGAGTATGCTATAAAGATGTATTGCGCATCTAGTGTTGATATGGATTGAAACATGCTATCTGTTATGATCCTAGGATCATCAAAGGGTAAACATCCATCCAGAGGGAGGCCGGAAGTAGAACAGCGGTATGATGGAGGGCCTCCAACTGGAGAGGAATAGATCTAGAATAGCTGGCCATATGAGAGGCCAGAACTGCAATTAGAGGCTAGAAACATGTTCAGTCATCTTTCCTTGCTTAATGAACATAGATACAACCTCATCCTTGTATAGATGGATGATTTCTCTAAAAAATATAAATAGATCTGATGATTGACCCTTAAGAAACTTATCTCTAAGATACAGGAAATAGATGATTACTCAATCTAATCTTAACTCTGAAATAAGATACCTAAAATTGCTGTACAGGAAATCTGAGGCTGTGTTCATGCACATGAAATTTTACACATGAATTGTAATTCCTGTAAGCGACACTTAATGTGCTGAATGAATGGAGATCCAATTCAAGATTTTTATTTTAGCATTGTACTGATTTGTTTACATATGGCTTCTTAGTTGTTAGGTTGTAGATGATATCACTATCTTTTATTTAATATTTATGCAAACAAACTAACACTTTTTTCCTTCAATGCATGTTCCATTTTTAGTTATGATTATCTCCAAAAAAAAGTTATGATATGTATTCTAGTGAGGTATTGACGCATGATAGAAAGGGTGATTGGTGGGCATATCGCAAGAGGCCTCATTCAACTTTTCCTTCTCACAGGGTGTATATTGGCTATGAATTACCAGGCTAAAGTTTATTAGTCAAACCAATGCTGTTGACTAAGTCAAATGATCTAGTTTACATAAAATGTGGCAAAATAGCTTAGGACATATAAGCTAAATGATAGTAATATATATACACATGATACCGTATTCAACTATTCCTTCTTCTCACAGGGTATATTGGTTAAGGATTACCATGCTAAAGTTATTAGAAATTGATGTTGTGGATTAAATCAAATGATCTCTTAGCAGTTTACATAAAATGTGGTACTAAGATAAACTTGGTTACACTTACTGAATGCAGGTCATGATTTTATGGATTGCCACATTTTGGTTTGTGGGTTCCTGGATAGTGCCATTTTTGGCTCATGCTGCTGGCTTTAGCAAGGAATCATTGACACATAGGGGCCAAGCACTCTATAGCCTCTTGACGGACATAACTGAAGGCCTTGCTGGAATTGCTATTCTTCACCATTGTCTTGGTAGATTTCGTCCCCTTCCTCCAGGCTGGTTTGAGTTCAATTTGAAGGGCAGATGGTATTTGGATGTAGCGTTGGGGTGCCTGTTATTCCCGCTGGTCAATTTTCTCTCTCACATCAACATCAACCTAATACCAATGTCATCAGGGCCAGTCCCTGGGGTTTCCAGTGTAGAACAGTCCATTGTGGCCCGTGATCCAGTGGCGATGGTTTTGTATGCTGTGGTGGTCACTGTATGTGCACCTATATGGGAAGAGATTGTGTTCCGAGGTTTCCTCCTTCCATCTCTAACGCGTTACATGCCACTTCCATGGTCAATCCTGGTAAGCGCTGCAGCTTTTGCACTGGCACACTTCAATGCACAGAGGGTTATGCCTTTGGTTTTTCTTGGTGTTGTGATGGGAGGGGTCTTTGCAAGATCACGCAACTTGTTGGCGTCAATGGTGTTGCACAGCCTATGGAACGGTTTTGTGTTCTTGGATTTGATGAAGTGAGCTATTCTGGTGAGACTGCAACTTCGGGCACCTGAGACAAGTTCTACTAAGACTATGTTTTGCGTCTTTCGTGGAGATGATGAAGACCAGTCTATTCAGGACACAGGGGACACAAGGTGGTAGTCAGATTTTTGTGGAGAAATTGTGTAGAGTAAAGAGAAAAGAGCAGTTTGTTGGCGCGCTAGTGCAGGAGGAATAGTCTTTAGGGTGTTATTCCTTGGCCTGAGGCCCAGAAGCGTCTTTGTTGCTTTCGTGTAAATTACATACGCATGAGAATAATTGTCTCATCGTGTATAGATTTCCCATTTCGTATTAAATTGTGTATTCGTTTCCCCTAGTGTGGGCTCTGGAAAATAAATTCATTTAGCAAGACGGCCACTATGCATTCGACCGATTCTTTTGCCCATTAGATTAATAAGCTGTAGTGATTCTAAATTCAGAGAAAACTATCAGTATTATGTGTTGAGATGCTTTGAGCGATGTTATGTATCTAAACGTGAATGAGCATTGGTGGTGTTCTGCATATCTCGTGTGAGTTGTAAAAATCCAGGAGAATGCCTCGATCGATGGAATATTATTTTCATGGCTCTCTTACAAATTGTTGATGTTGCTGTTATATACTTTCACCATTTTGGAGATGCAGTTTTGAGACAACGATGCGCTGAAGCTGTAGAAGTACAATATTACCAGCTGTAAAGAGTTGCAACATTAGCAGAGCAACTTCAGTGGCAGATGCGTGAGTGCTTCTTTTAACTTTGCACCTGGGTATCATAAACATGATATTACTACTGGCTATTATTGGTTAATGACACCTACTACGTTTACTAATTTGCCACTAAAGGGAGCATGTTTTAAATTTTAATGCCACCGAAGGGGAGACATCAATTAATCTCGTCAAAGAATTGGTTGATGCAAAGACTATAGTAATAAAATCTACTCCTGCGAGAAGTATGACTCATGGGATTCATCTAACTGCAAACCTGACTCGATGTCTTACCATTACCAAGCATGTGTCGCTCATTTGTCTCCATCCACTTTGTTTCCATTAGTTTGATCCCAGCAAGAGCAGCAGCAACTTAGGACGGCAAAACCATGGCGCTGCTACCCCTAAAACTTGCCTCCATCTGCCCCAGCCCCATGTGAAACCATGTTACTCCATATTGTTGTCCCGTTCTGCGGACTGCAGCCTGTGAGCGAGAGAAGATCGTGTGTTCTCTGAACAGGGTGCAACAGAGCAAGTTAAAATGCATTCGAATACTGATTCAGTATTCACCATTTTTTAAACAACCCACACCAAGCAGTGCGAAGTTTTATATTAACACAGCAAAAGAAAATCACAAGATTCTAGGGTTGTAGCTGGAAAAAAAAAACAACACGCATCACTACAATCTGACAGCTCCTCAGACAATAGAAGCAACTAGTACCAAGCCGACCGCCTCTAAACGAGGCCGATTGCCGCTAGGTCTACAAGATGATCGCAAATGTCACACCAAAAACCAAAACCACACATCAGGTTGTCGACGAGTTTCAAGTTATCCTCAAATAGAGGGGTTCATGAGAGAGACAGAATGAGAGCGAAGGAGATCCACTCGTTTTTCGTGCCAACCTGATGACGACCTAGGAAACAAGCAGAAACCACTAGCAACAAAACCGAGGGAAGGCGGCAAAGACAGGGAACAAGGACCTCCTATACATTATACAACATCTCCAAGAAGGTCATGATGCCTTTAGCGCCACCGTCATCCGTCCATCCGAACTGGGTTTTCACTAGGAGAGTCATGCCAAGAAGGAGGCAGCCACTCGACAACACCGCAAGGGGGGTTCATGGTGCCCAGAGCCATTGTAGTTGTTGGCTCACGGAACCCTGAACTAAGCCTATAGCACCCTCTCTCGTACCTGCCATCACCATCCCAGAGCTTCATCACCCGAATAGTCTCTGCCAGCCCGTAGCTCTACTGCTCCAATGGACCCACCTTCGTCGGGTCTTCCGTACGACACTCTCGTAGCTGACAACTGTTGACCTAGCCGTTGGCGCTGTTTTTCTCGTTGCAATGCATGGGCCTTTTTTCTAAGTATCTATTAATATTTATTTACACAATAAATTAGCATGTGTTAGCATAATAGATTTATCTTAGTCTTTCTTCTATTTTTTTATTAGTGTGATCAAATAAAAAATAATTATATTTATCAAGAGATTATCATTAATATATACTCTCTCCGTTTCACAATATAAGACTTTCTAGCATTACCCATATTCATATATATATTAATAAATTTAAACACAAATATGCGTCTAGATTTATTAACATATGTATGAATATGGACAATGCTAGAAAGTCTTATATTGTGAAACGGAGGAAGTATATTATATTGCTTATGTTGAGCTTGACCTCGAACCAAGCTACTTCCTCCATTTCATAATGCAAGTCATTCTGGCATTGCCCACATTCATATAGATGCTAATGAATCTAGATGCATTAGACATATATATGTGTCTAGATTCATTAGAGCACCCGCAATGGTAAAGTAAGGTGCTCTCTATAAAATATGTACATCTCAGCAATAGAATAGATTAATAGTAAACCACCTCAATAGTATGTCTACATGGGTATCTATAGCTCTCTAATCCATTGCCTCGTTTTTCTCTATAGACTATCTCCAGGTTAGTAGATAGCTTTGCTCTCTCTCTTCATTTAATCTCTTTCAAGTAGGAAAATATGGTGACATGGATCTCTTGTAGAGAGCTTATAGATAACCATTGCGGGTGCCGTTAGCATCTATATGAATGTGATTAATGCTAGAAAGTCTTACATTAGAAAACGGAGGGAGTAGCTTAAAAGCCTGAAAGTGTAATAATTAAACTATTCCCAACCCAATAACTAGATGGTGTTCATAGTACTCCCTCCATTCCAAATTGATCTACATATTTTATAGGTACACTAAGACCAAGAAAAGCTAATAACTCTCTCATACTATATTTATTCTAACAATAAACTCAATGCATGCACCATCCCCACTATTTCCTAGCCAACAGCAAATCAAGATATTGCATGTGGGTAATAAAATACTTGTGTGCATAGATGCATGCATCAATGTCTATTTACTTCAATGCACAAATAACGAATAAACTTAATGAATGAACATAAATATATTAATCATTTAGGAATAACCTAAAAAAAACTATATGTAGATCAATTTGGAATGGAGAAAATATTAAATAAGCTGTCACCTAAAATAAAAAATGATGTATCAAGTGAGTAAATGAGGAAAGAGAAGGAAATCAAATCTTACATGGGACATGGTTTATACACAACATCCAAGACATCATGTGAGCAAGTAGCATTGAATTTAAGTATATAAAAATGGTGTTTGTATTAAACAAGTAGTGTTGTGGAGTTAGGTTAGGACTGCCATAAGATTGGCTCGAGATTAATATCGAGCTGGAGCCCGGGCAAATGGGGCCGCGGCGCGCGGGGTGATATGCCTCTCGTGTGTGACTCGTGTCGCGTGACTAGGGATGGCACGACGGATTGTGACCACCCGTCCCCGTCCCCGGGCAGTTGGAAATCCCCCGCCCCCTGTCCCCATCCCCGTCATCGGGGGCAATCTTTCCCCCATCCCCGCCCCCACCGGGGTTGCGGGGCTCCGACGGGGGCGCACACCCGAGGAGAGGAAACACGGGGCAGCACTGTGCATCAATTTGGGAATAGAGAGAAGGGAGACACGAATACAAATTGAGAAAATTTTAGGAATTTGGAAGTAGAGAATTAGAGATAATGGATACACAGAAGTCCCGTACGAATTGAGAATAAAATGCTTACACATGCACACACAGATGACAAATCTATTGTCTTTTTGTTTTAATAAAGACATACATCAGATCCATAAATCAAAAGAGAGCAGTTACATGATTCATTCCAATTCCCAAGATCAAGCGGTAGAACCAAATCAAAAGATTGCATGTGGCTGTTGTGCAGCTCTCACGCTGTGCGTTGCATTGGCAGGCGGCGACTCGGCCGATGAGCAAGGCGCACAACGGCAGAGGGTCAGGGCGCGGCGCGGGAGCCTGAAGGCGTCACTCCTCGGTGACGACGACGGAGCTTTGAGGCGGCGATGGCGTGGGGGCGGGCGCGCAGCCTGGAGGCACGTCGCTGCCTCGCTGGCGTCCTGGCGGCCTCCCTCGCCCTGGCCGATCGGACTTGTTCAGAGAAAGAGAGGAATGGGGGAATTGGGGATCAGTGGATAGAAAGAAAAACGCGATGTGTTCTTCTCTGTGCGCCTGTGTTTTGTGACCAGGAGAATTTTCAGAATATGTCATCGAATTCGCACTACTTTCAGGATATGCCACCCAATTCGTGCTACTTTCAGAATACGCCATCGGAGCACAAATTTCCTTCGTTCCGTGCCACTCCGTCTCTTCCGTCCATAGCTCCGTCGTCTTCTCCGCCCGCGCCGGTGCCCGTGTCAGCCGCGCCGGCGTCCGTCCGTCACCGGCATCGTCCATCCTCGTCGACGTCCGTCGTCGTCGTCCACGGCTCGGTGGGCGCGGAGGGAAGGAGTCCGCCACCGCCCGCGCCGGCGTCAGTCGTCGGCATCGTCGTTGTCCACCGCCCGCGCCGCGCGCGCCCGTGTCAGCCACAGCGTTGTCTGTTCGCCGTCACCGCCATCGTCGTCCTCCACCGCCCGCGCATCGCGTCCTCCGGCTGGAGCATGTCGGCGAGGGTGCCCTGCCCTCGTCCTCCTCAACTTCCTCCCCACCACCACGGACGCCGCCCCCCATTGTACACAGCCGCCGCATTCCGCCTCGCCCCACCATCCACAAGGGGCTTCTCCCCCACCCCTTCCCCGCCGCCGCAGCCGCCCCATTCTGCAGCCGCAGCCGCTTCGCCCGCAGCCGCAGCCGCCGCTTCGCCCGCCGCCGCAGCCGTTGCTAGCACTCGCGGCCGCGCTCGCCATCCGTCCCCTTCAACTTCTACAAGCGACTCCCCGCCAAGTCCGACGTCCTCCTCTGAACAATCCAAGTATCCAACTACTACCTACCCATTCCGTTCCCTTCCGTCCTTGCCAATTCACACTCATCATCTGGACCAAGTACGTGCAGCAGCAACAACATACAGGGAGTTTTTACCGGCCGCCCTCTACTCTCAAAATTCACAAGGCGCGCACACGAGGTCCAGTCCCGGGCGGTAGTAGACACAGACGCAGACAGTCAGCTTTGCCCGCTGCCGCAGCCGCTGCTAGCACTCGCGGCCGCGCTCGCCCCGCTGCTAGCACTCGCGTCGCGCTCGCCTCCCTCCGCGCCCACGCCATGCCGTGGACGACGACGATGGACGCCAACGAGGATGGACACCAACGAGGATGGACGATGCCGGCGACGGACTGGCGTCGGCGCGGGCGGTGGCGGACTGACGATGGCGGTGCCGGGCGGAGAAGACGACGGTGCTACGGACGGAAGAGACGGAGTGGCACGGAACAAAGGAAATTCGTGCTCCGATGGCGTATTTTGAAAGTAGCATGAATTGGATGGCATATTCTGAAAGTAGTGCGAATTCGATGGCATATTCTGAAAATTCTCTGTGACGAGCGGCCGGGAGTGGGAGTGGGAGTGGGGACGGGATTAGGGTTTCTCCATATATATATGGTCTCTCATTGGACCTAGAGTTGGGCTATTATTTTCTAAAATGGACTGACACCTAAGGAATTTGCTCATGGGCTGATATGGCTTGGGCCCCCATGGGGATACGGGGCCTGGGAGCAGTGGAGCGCTCCTACCCCCGCCCCACCCGATGGGGCCTAAATTTGGCCGTTCTTTACCCCGTGGGGGAGGATTTCACCCCATTAACTCCCCCTAATAGAGGAATTCCCCGTCGGGTACCGGGGCCCCATTGCCACCCCTACGCGTGACTCGCGTCGTGTCATGCCGCCCCCACCCGTCAATCGCTGATTCGCTGGCAGAGGCCCCCCACCCGTCGGTCACTGATTCGCTGGCAGGGTGGTCCCGCGTGTCATTGGGTGGGGACAGTGCCGACCGCCTCCTGGGCCCACATGTCATTGGGTCGTCTGCTACTGATGCCGCCGCCTATAAAGACGAGGCGAGGCGAGGCGCGGCGCGCACGTTGGTGGCGTTCCCGAGCCCGAGATTTCAGGGGAGCAGATAGCAAATTCGTACAAGTTCTGAAATTCTGGGCGGAGAGGAGACAGAGAGAGAGAGAGGGGGAAAGGCGCCGCGCCGCCGCCGCTGCTCTCCTCCGGTGGTGGACGGTGTGTCCGGTCCGGTTCGCCGCGCCGCCCTTGCGTGAGCGCGAGCGTGCGTGCGTGCCGCGGAGAGGAGGAGGAGGAAGAGGAGGAGGAGGAGGGGGAATGGCAGCGGCGTGGACCTCGCTGGGGCTAGCGGCGGTGGCCGTGGTGGTGGTGGGAATCGCAATGCCAGCCTCCGCCTCCGCCGCCGCCCCCGCGCAGCCGCCCGCCCCCGCGCCCTCCAGCGACGGTGAGAACTCCCTCGGCAGTTTCAATCCACCCCCTGTTCCTCATTTGTGTATGTGGCTGGCGCGTGGGCCCCACGCCATAATTCGATTCTCGTCCACGAAAGAAAAAAAAATCATCTGAGACTCGCGAAACGAAGGTACTAAAGGATGCATCCGGAGTGCGATGAAACTTTTTTTTTTATAAAAAAACGTAGTTTAATTCTGCTTCTTAGGACCTTCTCGTTGTTGATGTAGGAGTAGGTTTCGTTTTTCGAAACGACATGGAGTAAGTTTCAAAATGATAATTTTTTGTTACCTCTCTCCTCCACATAAGCTTACAGTAGACTTATAGCTCATTATTATACTTGTTCTTAAAAAAAAACTAATGTTGCACGATCAAAGATTTTCTCCCTCCTGTAATAAGTTCATTTTTAGATCGTTCCATTCGTTCCAAAATAAACTTATTTCTAGAGTAATCATTGCATCGGAGCTTGTGAAAATAAAAAAAATAATTATATTAGAAGTAGATAAAGTAATAAATAGTTGCATTGGGATTTGATAAAACAGGGGTATTATAGTATTTTTGGTTCGTATTGATATATGTGAGGTGAGTGACAAATGAATTTATTTTAGGATGGATGTAGTAATTTACAAGGTAGTTTGTTGTTTGGGAGCATGTTTTGTCCGCGCATCCGATAAAAGCTTGATAAGGATTTCCATGGAACTACAGAGTATTGAAATTTTCCATGTTTCGTGTAAAAGTTAACGTGGAATTCTAATGAATTCTTCGGAATTATTTGATAAATTAATTACATTAGACCTTTAAGGCTGCAGCTTTTGGTGGTATATAGAAGATCTTCTATGATCTTATGATGCTTGACATCTCTGACTCGTACACGTTGATTCGGAAGGCCTAGATGGGTCGCGACTGTTTACGAATATTTTTATGATGGTGAACACCTCAGTATTTTTAGCGTGTCAAATTTCACAAGCAACTGTTTTTATGGGATCAAATAATGTTGCCGCTAAAACACTGTTTTTTACTAATGTAATAATTGATTCATTATTTGCACAAAATGAATATGGCCTCTGCTGTAATTTCCTGAGAAAGTTCAGTTTTTGTGATATACATGGAATCCCTGAATGTGTCTCTGTCAAGTTTTTCACTTAAGTTTTGTTCTTGCCAAATGTTTTGTGCGTGTTCATTGTACGTATTCTGGTACATATTATGGGCAATACTGATTGAAAGGAACAGCTAGGAGAATCCTCACATTGTGTGTCCATATGTGAAAGTGCTATTCATCGATGAGCAGTGAGCACAAATGCTGTGATAGATCACACTAGAAGGGTGCTTGCTGTCCACCTCTCAAGAATCTTGTATTTTGTTCTGCTGTACTTGTTGGGTTAGTTTGCGCTTCATTTTCATTGGTAGTATTCGCTCTTCATTGAGTAGCTTCCACTGAATGCATGATACCTAGCATCTGCTCGTTTACACTCTTGTATTTGAAGGATGCCGGGAATTTTGTTTGCCTAAAAGTGACTTCAGGTTCTCCAGAAGTTAAATGTCTCTAAATCCGATAGGTTTTCCTGTTTTACCATATGCAAAACATTTGATTCGTTTTCTTTTAGGATTAGTTCTTCTTGCAACGTGTTACAGAAAAAAATGCTCTTGGTTTGCCTCAAAAAACAATTGCTATCGGTCATGCTACTCATCACGACAATTTCGGATTAGTGACGTCTTGTTGGAACTTGAATTATTATTTGGATGACTTGGTACAGGACATTCAAACCTTAGGGATGCTATGCAGAAATTTTCAAGCAGCCTGAATTATTTTAGTCCTAAAAGTTATTTTTCACCCAGAACATCTAGAGTGCATGTCTCTTCAAGGCGCCCGATTTCAAATGTTGAGCTCATTTCCACGTGTCTAAATTAGTGAATTTCTAAACTGACAGTCAATGATCCAAACTTCTTACATTTCTGTTTTGTCCTTTCGTGGCCAGTTTTTCTTTTGTTTTCTCGAGCCATCAGGCTAACCCTGCAAATACCTGCTGCTAATAATATATTCACGCAGGCACATCAATTGACCAGGGAATTGCATATGTGCTGATGCTGGTGGCCCTTGTGCTCACCTACCTCATCCATCCGCTGGACGCCTTATCTCCATACAAGCTATTTTAAGCACCTACAATCCTCTAATCCTTGTACCAGTAGAGCTAGCTATGTGAGGATAAACAGAATTTAGGTGAGGTTGAGGAGTGCTCTGATTTTTTTTTTGTACGCGTGACATAATGGTTATCAACATGTTTGGTGGTGATTTCATTGGCTGGGAATGATTCTGCCATTCGATTGTGATTTGCTTCTGCCCCTGTTCTGGCTATTATATGTGTGTATCCCACCTGCTTTGTGCTACTTGCCATGTGCTTGTGATATGGAGTAGATTGGGGTTCTTGTAGTTTGCATGCTGTATAAGCTACCAACCATGTGGTTGCTTTGTCCCACCCCTGTCATGGCTGATCTCTGCTGTGGGCCAAAAAAATTTTTCGGTCAATGTTCAGGTTGATCGTTTTCTTTTGTTTGCCTGTAATTGTAGTGTAAGGCTGTAAGAATTATTTTCCTGTCTCGGATAGCGACTTTTTTATTATTTGCGCCTCTGTTGTGGGGCAAAAATTCAGTCAATGTTGAAGTAGATAATTTTCATTTGGTAGCCTGTCTGCAACTGTTAAGTTTTGGAACTTTTGAGAATTATTGTTGCCTCTGGGTTATCCATATTTTACTGTTTGCAAACATTCCATTCCAATTAGAACTACAAAATAATTTCAAAAAATTCTGAATCGCCGTCCGTGGGGATCGAACCCACGACCACGTGGTTAAAAGCCACGCGCTCTACCACTGAGCTAGGACGGCTCTGTTTATTTGTAAGAAATATTTACTTTATAATTTATTGAGTTGTGCTAAAATGGATAGTCATAGTCTTAAATTTCCAATTTAGACGCAGCACGAATATAAAACTTCCCATTCAGGCCCAGGCCCCTCTGAATTTTGTTTCCTTTTTTCGTTGGATTGTAATTCATGTGAAGACATGCCCCCTTTTTTTTTGAAAGACTGGAAAATTCTGGTGTAGAATGTTGGATTGTGTTCCCTATCGTTTTTTCCTCCCAAACCACTTTGATGCATTTTGTTCAGAAAAAAAATGTTTTGCACTCCCTTCTGGTTCCTAGTCTTTCTTACGACCAGGCCCTTCCTGATATTTCAGCGCAAGAAAAGGACTGGCCTTTTTATCAATAAATATTAAAGTAAATTACTTTAATATAGTTTTCTTAAATAAATATTAAAGTAAAGGACTGGCCGCCGTCGAGGCCGTTCTACCACCGGAGCACCAGCGCCCCTTTCTCCCTCTCTTCTCCCTTCTCTCGGCTCTCTGTGAAGCGGGAGGAAGAAGAAGACGAGAAGGAGAGAGAGAAAAGGAAAAGAGCAGGTACTGACATGTGGGTCCATGAACAGTACATTTTCATATTTTCTAGATTTAATTCAAAACCCAATCTTTAGAAGCCCATATTTCCTAAACCATAGATCCGATTCCGATAAAACTTGGACCTAAATTTATCTAAATTCAAACCCTATCTTTTGACACCAAATTTGCTATTTTATAATTTTATTTGAATTTATTCAAATATCGTTTGAATTTATATTGCCTTTTCAAATATTTTCTTTTGTCCCAAATTACCCTTTTAGCCACTAAAAAGCCGCCGGTTGGAACTTTATGCCTTCCATGGGGACGTTCGTGGTTTTCTATCCCCAACGTCGAACCGTTGGTTATAAAGCCCGGCAAAGCCCAAACCCAAGGTCGAAGTGCTGCTCCTGGCACCCCACGCCTTGATGCGTACAACGGTCGGAGCTTCACTATTCCCTCGACATCCACAGCACGCCGCACAGTTAGCTCTCGGGCTCTGTGTGATCCTAGCCGCTCCGCCGCCACTCACGGTTGTCAGAGTAACACTTCCGCCCCACTAAACCCATACAAACCTCCTATCCCTCTAGCCGTTATGTTGTCTGTTGACACCAGCTAGAGAAGATACCAAACCTAGTCGTTATGCTCTAGCATCGACTAGCACACAACCAAACCCTATCCCTCCTAACCATTTATCGTTTTCTTGTTATTTTATGGCTTTTATTGAATTTAGTTCTTCGTCTTTCTTAGTAGAGTCTATTATCTTTTGGATGGCAACCTGTGATGTTTCGAGGATCGGATAATCAGGTTGCCTATCTCGGATTTGTTTGCGTTGGAGCAAGGCAAGTTATTATTCCTCTCCTTTGAGCATAAATGCCCTATATTCTATATCTCTATTCTATGCATTAGTCATACATGATTTTAAATGCATAACCTGAACATAGCAAACCAGATATATGCTAGATTTTGCTTAGTCATGCCTAGTTAGATTGCATAAAACATAATGAACTTAGATTGGAACAGTACGGTAGAAATGGTTGATTTCCGGGTGGCTAGTACTGTTCCAACCGACATAAGATTGCCAAGTACATGTGAAGAACGAACGAGTATGACCGCAATTCTAGAATGGGGACAGACCTTGCAAAGTAAGTTATCTAGCAAAGGTGGTACCTCTGTACAATGGTTCTTCTTTAAGTCCTCGCGTAGGAGGCAAATTTACGCCGAGCAGGGCGATTGTAATATTTACCGAGGCGCAGGTAAATATATTGATTATTGCGCGCTGTGTGTGTATTGTGAAAACCTGGTTGGGATGACGGGGGTCTCTCAACCAGTTCTCTCTAAAGACCTCGGGAACGCCAGAACTCCTCTCGCTGCTGATAACGTTACGTTCAGAGCGCATGGGGATTATAGTTCATGGAACAGGTACCACTGATGTTAGTAACCGAAAAGCTTTGCCATGACTAAGCTGATGAATATTAGCATGTCATTGATTGCGGGTAAAGCATACATCTACTGTAGTATGAGTATCTCTGAAACTATTCGAATAGCCGTGCTCACGGATATTGAGCATCGGGACTCACTATGGCATCTTGGTTAGAAATATAACTCCAGATTTATTAAATACTGTTGCATTTCAAAACATTATAGACTTTCTCCTTCTACTTTCTCAGCTTTTTGCAAATAGATCTAGCTCTACTCAAATACTATTATTTCATACATTCATACTTGAATATAATAGCTTGCTGAGTATGTTGTACTCACCCTTGCTTTAACCCCCTTCTTTCAGAGTCAATTTGGAGTTCTTGCCGAAGCCGAGAGTTCAATCATATAAGTTAGTTTCATTTCAACCTAGTTTTCAAGTCTAGATAAATGATTTAAGTCTATAGCAATACACTAGAGTTGGTTTATTCTATAGCTTCTGCTGTATTAGTTAGCCACAAGTTTGTAAATACCCATATATTTTGTAATATCAACTCCTCTGGAGCCCTGTTCAAATATATGCGATGAAGATCCAGATTGATGAACCTGTATCAATCTACTGATCCAGGGCTTGATACAGTTAAACATGTTGGTTTCCGAATCATTAGTTTTGGGACCTGACATAGATAGACCTCTTAAGTGGCCACAGATAAAAATGCATTTTCGTAGGCCCACCTACAAGTCCGACCTCCCACCTCTCTTCTCTTAGTATCTTAAAAACTTTCAAGTCCTCATCCTTATCTCCTAACCTTCTCTCTCACCTCTCTTTTTTCCACAACCTCTTCTCTCTCCCCGCTCATTTTCCTCCTCTCTCCCTCAGCTTCTCTTCTAACGATTGATGGGCATGGGGCGCAGGAGCGGAGTAGCTGACGGGCACATGACCCGTTGCCGCCGACGAAGGAGTGGGGGTGATGAGCCAAAAAACCCTAGCTAGATCTGTTGGCCATGGGATTGGTCGGGGCAGATCCAGTAGTGGCAGGAGGTGGCGGGCTTGGGTGATGGCGGGAGCAGTGGTGGTGGCGTCAACGAGGGCTATGGTGGGCTCGGCCTCGGACCGCGTGGATCTCGTCTTCTCTCCTCCCTCTTTCCCTCGGCTTCTCCTCTCATGATGGCCAACGGCCGTGGGATTTTCCGCCATCCACCACTACTAGAAAAACGATTTTTCATGGTGTCACCCTACGATTTTCGCTGGCTTAAGACGACTACCAGCAAAAATGAATTATCGCTGGCGGCCGATAATCGCTAGCGAAGATCTTGATCTTCACTGGCCTTTACTTTGTGGCGGCTCCAAATTCCACCAGCGAAAACCCAAAATGGCCACCACGGAAGATGGTTTTCGTAGTTGTGCACGAAGGAGTGGGGACGGTGGGATGGAGTGCAACGGTGACTGGTTAGCAACGGATCTTTCTAGGGTTCCGATTTTAGTAGTTTTTTTCACCGAAATTATTTTCATGCGGTCGGTATAGGTGACCACATGTAAAAATTCTGTTTTTCGCATGCAGATGTGGTGCCCGCATGGAAAAATATTGATTTTTTCAAACACCTGATTGCAGGTGGTTGCTTTGCCTACATGCGAAAAAAAGTTTGCCTGGGTAGCCCGACGAGTTACCCACTTATTTACCTATAGGTGGGTTCACGGGTCTACTCCATTGCAGCCTTAATGTTTGTGCATCAAATAGTGATAAGTTCTTGTCACAATGCGTAATGGGCTGGATCGTTGTGGGCCGGACCTTTGTCATCACGCGATTATACAGCAAATTAGACGGGCGCCCGATTAATCGCTAATGATATGATTTATGCGTAACTGATTAACGTAACAGACTGCCAGCCTACCCGTATTAATGGCTGTTAAAACCGTTTTCCATTTTTTAACATAATGGAACGTAACATCCCGGTTTTTCTCAAAAAGTTACAACCAATTATTACAGTCTAAACTCTAAAAGTGTGTAGTTCAAACAAAACATCAAAAACATCCACCAAAAATTAAAGAAAGACCAAACTTAGATAAGGTGAACACATTTATTGAAGGCTATTTATGTGGCAAAGAGTTGCATAATCGTCGTATCAAGCTTACGACATGCAACTTTTATAAACTCACCATCTTCATCAGATCTTTGTAGTTGAACCCAGAGCCGGAGCCAATATGTTGCCTTGAAAATTACCTACATATATGAAATAGATGGTCAAAAACCATATCATTCCTAGCTTCCTGCACAACCACAAAACCCAACATATAGTAGAAACTTCTACAAGAATAAACTTGCTCTCTTCCTTGTCCACCCTAAAAGCCAACCACCAAAAACCGTTTTCCATAGTATAGAGGTCTCAAAAACCATTCGAAATTTTGTTCGAATCTACTTTTTGTCATGTCGAAACCTCCAATTTTTATGATTTTTTTATCGATTTTTATTGAAAACATAAACCATGCCCTGTGTTAGCCATTTTATGCAATATGTTGATTTTACTTGTTTCTACTTTAACATAGAGGGTGTTTAGATCTAGGGGTGTAAAATTTTGGCGTGTCACATCGGATATTATATAGGGTGTCGCATGGGGTGTTCGGACACTAATAAAAAACTAATTACAGAATCCGTCAGTAAAACACGAGATAAATTTATTAAGCTTAATTAATCCGTCATTAGCAAATATTTACTGTAGCACCGAATTGTCAAATTATGGAGCAATTAGGTTTAAAAAATTCGTCTTGCAAATTAGTCGCAATATGTACAATTAGTTATTTTTAGCCTATATTTAATACTTCATATTGGAGTTTAAACGTTTGATGAGACTAGGTGAAAAATTTTGGGGTGGGAGCGGATTATTATTGTGAATTATCCGCTTGGTTATGGGGTAAGGTAAAATTGCATAATCCGATCAGACTTAATTCCTTGGCGGGCCATACCAGCTAGTTGTCCAGCGTAGTTATGTCTCGAGCTTTTTCTTAACCAAAGAATGATGTTACTTCCAGCTGACAGCAAACACACCTTTCACTCGACCTTATTCGAGAACTAGTTTAACTTGGCTGATATAGTCCACTACAAATCCATGTGAAAAGAAAATAGGCTGAATGACCTACTCACGTGTGCGGAGGGATCAATTTCGGTCTAACAATATTAAGGTGGGTGAGCTTTTATAATAAAATATGTTATGGGGTTGAATCTCAAAATAAAGGTAATGATTAGGATGGTTTATATAATTTTGTCATAAATAAAATATTTTAAGCAATATCGTTTTGGCGGAAATGTATTTTTCAAAGCGTTTAGCGAACAATCTGAAATATTTTTATTTTTAGAAAAAGAACAAGTCCATTGTCGTTTCGTGGAATTTAATTAAATTTATTTTAAGGATTTTCAGCATATCACATATCCGCATAGCTATTTTATACGGGACTACTTAGAAAAAACCGCAACAAATTTTTTAAACAATTTTTCACTATATTATACTATAACTACCATACAACTTTATGTAAGTATTAAATAAAATACAATTTCATACTGAGTTATGTAGAGATACATTGTCATTATAGTTATGTAGTTATAATGTAACTATAATATAATTATATTTTACAAGTTACTAGTTATACCACAAAACTTAATTATATTGTTACATATAAAAGTTTTCTCAAAAGTAACTTCCCATTTTATATACCCACCCTCTCTCACGACAACATCATCACTTCATTATCACATGACAGACCAACATATAATGATGATTAAGAAAAAAAATAAAATTGTTAACAGAATACGGAAGGAAAAAAAATAAAAAAAAAACCGGCTTCTCCGCCTATCGTGCCCAGGTGTGCGCGGCTCTCTTCTCCTCCATCGGCGACGAGCCACTCCTGCGATGAGATGAGATTGCCCGCATCGTCGTCGTCGGCGGCGGGGCTGCAGGAGCGCATCTGGGACCTCCACGACAATCTCAGCCACGCCATCCTCTCCCTCTCCGCCTCCGCCCACCGCTGCTGCCGCCGCCGCGCCCCCGAAGGGCGCGTGGTCGTCAAGGGGTGGCGGCGGCAGGGAGGATGTGGGGACTGCGGCCTGGAGCAGGAGGCGGCTGCGGCGGCCACCATGGCGGACGCGCGGAGCCTTCACGCCGTCCGCGCCGCGCTCGAGGACCTCGAGGGCCACCTCCATTTCCTCCACGTCAGTATCCTCCTCTCCTCCTTAATTCTTGATTTTTTGTTTACTTTGTACAAGAACCATCTCCACTTGATGATACTACAAATGTAGGGAAGAGCTTCTGTTACTTCGTGGCCTCGGATTGCCATGATAATTAATTGATGAATTTCTGAGCTAACCAATCCGCGCTGATTCCACCATCCAAATCGATGAATCGAGATTACTTTGGTACAATTGGTACTGTTCATTAAGAGAACAAGCTGGATGTACACGCTTGTATGCTTGTTTGATCCACAAATTTTTAATTCTTTGACCGTTCGTCATGGTTGCGCAGATGGAAAGAACCAAACTTAAGCCACATCGTTGTGAGCTGTATGCTAGCCTTGGTTTGTTCTTGTTGTTTGCGTCCCTTATGTCTCATTGCCACCCGTCATCGTGTTCTCTCGGAACCATTTTGTCCTCCTGTGATTTGTAGGTCCACAACTCCAGATGGGTTGGACTGTAAGCACAATTCACTGTAGAATGCAGGTGTTCATTTAAGCAGTCGTGTTGGCATTCTCTTTCATGCTCTATAAGATGCCAATCTATATGGGGGTGATCTTATCTGTTTGATAGGGACACGTCGTTTCCTTATAGCCAATAATTGTATGAAGAAATTCAATTGGTAGAGGTGACTAACCATGTAGCTTGCTGTCTTCTGGCTTATGTTTGTTAGCTATATGTAAGTAGCTTGTTGTCCCAGGTTGATGGTTTCAACCGGGACTCTGAAAAATTAAACTGTAGCTTTGTACTTTATTTCTTTTCAAGGTATAATACGATCTGTCTAATTTTTTTTTTGTTTAGATCCTCACAATAAGCTGAAGCTTAGCTTGAGTTATCACATTTCTCTTGTGAAAAGAAAAGCTGTCTTATTTCTACATGATCGAAAGTTATCATTTTTGCATATTTGTTTTTCAAGCATGTAGCTTATGACCTGCTAGATACTAGATTATGGAGTTCTCCAGCACCATCTAATTAAATTATCCAAAAAATAACATGGTGCCTATTGTGTCAACAATACTTGCAGAACATTCAATTATGTCAGGTGGCAGAACGAGATGCCGCGATTGCTAGGCTGCAGCAAAGTCGTATTCTGCTTGCTACAAGATTGGCTGAACATAGGTGGAAGAAGCATGAAGTTATTGAGGAGGCCTTAGCTTTTGTTGATGATGCGCTTGACAAGAGTCGATTTGTCTCACCAGAAGATGTCCGTGGGACGCATACACACAGCCAATCAGTAGAGAACCAGTGCCCCAAGATACATGATTCAAACTTCTTGGTGCGTTTTTTATCCTGTACATTAGCTATAGCTAAGAATTCTTTAAGATTTGAGAGGATTGGTGGTGCACTCGGTAATACCGCGATGTTTGCAGTAAGTATGCTTGCATTCTTGCAGCTGCAACAAGTGGCCTTTGGTAAACAAACTCCAGCAGTACAATGTAGACGAGTCAATTATTTTCATTCTCAGATGTCTGTAAAGAACACTAAAGAAAAGCATCTGGTCGTATTGTTAGCTAGAGGATGAGGAAATCATCATTGTTTGATGTATAGATAAGTTTTGTTCTGTTCACATTTCTTGAAAGTTTTGTTAGGACACTAATCATTTCACTCCCTTGGATTGGCTGGTCTACAGCATATCTTTGATAGGAAGTTGTACCACATGAGTTGTAAATGGTTTTAGATTGGCAATAGATGAACTGGCAGGGCTTGTAAGCTTGTTTCTTTTTCTGCAGCTGAACGACAACCACCATTTATGGACAACAGATTTCGTAATTGCCATGTTTATGTGAAACCATGGTATCAGATTTGATCTTTGGGTTGCCATGTTACATGAATTTCTTGTCAGGGGCTTGTGGATGTTCATATACATCACAGGCTGAGGCACTACACCAAAATGACCCCATAAAGACGTTTTTCTCTAGATGCTTTGAAACACGTCTCTGAATATGGTATGAGATAGAAAAAAAAAAAGACGCTTCGGGAGACATTTTTATGAATCGCCACAAAATTTCTATGGTAAAGATGTCTTTTTCAGGGATCTTAATCACCAAAACAGCGTTCTTGTTATCCTTCCGAGCAGCTCAATTCCGACAGTCCAAAGCCCAACTGTTCGCGGTTGTTCGTGATTTTGTCCTTCTAATTGTCCCACTATATATCCATCCCACAATATAACTGATTTTGTCCTTCTAATTGCCCCACTATATGAGGAATTTTGGCATACTACTTATCATATATAAGTGACTTTATTCTACATTCTAGTATGTGAAAAATTCCTGAATTTGAATTGATATATGGATGCTATGTGAATATGAAAAATGCTTGCATGATGTGATTATTGTTTTTTTTCTCTTTTTTTTGGGCTAAAAATAATTCTTCCATGCAAGTGACTTAAGATGCTGCCTGCGAAAATACGCGGTGCTCTTAGTGCAGCCGTATGTGAAAACGATTTTTGTAGATAGTCAAAGGTCCGCTGCAGGTCTTTAGTACAGGTGGAGTATTTGGCCGCCTGAAAAACGTGTTTTGGCCACGACAAAAATTGTTTTTCTAATAGTGATAGTTAGTCAGCCATCAACTCCAATTCAAATTTCTACATATTTTTAACCCTCAACTATCCACTCACCCACAAACATATCTCACCCCAACTATACATTATTTTTTTCATGATTTTATCTTGCACTAGTTATTTTTTAGAAATTAACTAAGATTAAGTTTACATATAAGTTCCTATTGTAAAAATGTATTTAGGTGATTGTAAAATTTATATTGAATTGTACTATGGGTCGGTTATTATTGCCCGAGTTTCATTTTAGACTAGGTTATATCTAATGTTTTCACTTTGGTTCAGGTTTTCTTACTTTCTGTTGCACATTGGACTATTTTTTTTGTGATTTCATTAGCGAGCTTACCAGCAACATAATAAACCAATCAATATTCCATCTGACCTTGATTTCTTTTACTCCTTGATTTAGCTGCTTGACTTCTACCATTTTCCCCTTAAAAAAATCAAGTGAGCTTAGAGCAAATCACTGTATTGAGCTTGCAAGCGACACTGCGACAGCTACAACAACCAGCTATCACCAGGCTTGATTTTGCTGGTTCCTCAAGCTCAGGAACAGAGCAGAGAGAGAAGGGATCCCAGTGTTTTGATTGATCATCCACGGCGCAGCTGCTTAATAGAGAAAAGGAGGGAAGAGAAGAGATGGAGAAGAAGGGTGGTCCAATTTGAAATTTTTGTAAATTTATCTAGTCCAAAGTGATAAGATAACTTCACCCCTTGTTCAAAGTGAAACTTAGGTAAAAATTCCTAGCCCAAAGTGCAATTGACTCTTTTCTATATCTCTTTGCGTAAGACTATTATGTTTCTTTTATATATAAAACTAGGTGAAACCCCACACATTGCTGTGTGAGTTTAGTATGATAGCACTAAGTTAAGTAATGTGTAAGATAGCTAGACAATATAAACTTATATAAGTTAACATGGTTCATGATAGTTTAAATTTAAATAGTATATAGAACGATAATTTAAATGTAAAAGTAAGTTGTTATAGTCTTATGAGAAAAGAAAAGGAGATAGAGAGAGTTTGGATAATAGAATAATCATCTAATGGCTAAAAACAATTGAGATGATATGACTTAATAAAAGAAAAAAATAAGGGAGATAATTTGGACCATAGGACAAAAACAATTGATGTGATATTGCTTAGTGAGAGAAGAGAGAGAACATTAACTAAGTTAGGAGTTATAATAAACTATATATGTATATAAGATGTTATAAAAAAAGATGAAGAGACATTTAAATATTATATGAATTATGTGTGATGATGATATAATATGCTTGCATTTGAAAAGCTATAAAATTTAATAAATTATAAAATTATAGATAATATAAGCATGATGTTTATATGTAATAGAGTAAATAAAGAACAAAAAAGAAAGAGCACTACAAAAATGGTAACCAATCAGCAACTAATTAAAAAGCTCACATCTTGTCCGTTCTCTCCCGATCGGACGGCTGCTACGCCATCAGAGCAGCTCCAGAAGCCACCGCGCCAGTGCGCCACTGCTAAGTGGCCCCCTCCCAACTCCGACGACCCCGCCGCCGCCACCGCCGCCGCCGCCGATGCAGAACCCCAACGGCACCATCCTCCAGCTCTACCACGCCGGCAGGCTCGCCGCCGCCCTCCGCGCCTTCGAGTCGCTCCCCTCCTCCTCCCCCGCCTCCGCCGCCGCCGCCCCAGCCCCTCTCACCGCCGCGACCTACGCCGCCCTCGTCTCCGCGTGCTCCCGCCTGCGCTCCCTCCCGCAAGGCCGCCGCGTCCACCGCCACCTCGTGGCCTCCTCATCCTCCTCGCCGGATGCACAGCTCGCTGGGAACACCGTCCTCGGCAACCACCTCATCACCATGTACGGGCGGTGCGCCGCCCCGGACTCCGCCCGCCAGGTGTTCGACGAAATGCCCGCCAGGAACCCCGTCTCCTGGGCCTCCGTCATCGCCGCGCACGTGCAGAACGGCCGCGCCGGTGACGCTCTCGGGTTGTTCTCGTCCATGCTACGGTCAGGAACTGCCGCAGACCAGTTTGCCCTCGGCAGTGCCGTGCGTGCTTGCACGGAGCTTGGGGACGTCGGCACCGGGAGGCAGGTGCATGCGCATGCGTTGAAGTCAGAGAGAGGCAGTGACCTGATTGTGCAGAACGCACTCGTCACAATGTACTCCAAGAATGGCTTGGTTGACGATGGATTCATGCTCTTTGAGAGGATTAAAGATAAAGACTTAATTTCCTGGGGGTCAATTATCGCTGGGTTTGCTCAACAAGGTTTTGAAATGGAGGCACTACAGGTTTTCAGGGAGATGATTGTTGAGGGCTCGCATCATCCGAACGAGTTTCATTTTGGTAGTGCCTTTCGTGCATGTGGGGCTGTGGGCAGCTGGGAGTATGGAGAGCAGATTCATGGCTTATCCATCAAGTATAGGTTGGACCGTGATTTATATGTAGGATGCTCACTGAGCGACATGTATGCGCGATGCAAGAATCTGGACTCTGCAAGGGTAGCATTTTACAGGATTGAGGCACCGGATTTAGTTTCTTGGAATTCCATAGTAAATGCATACTCTGTTGAGGGCCTACTTAGTGAGGCCTTGGTCCTGTTCTCTGAGATGAGAGACTCTGGTTTGAGGCCTGATGGTATTACTGTTAGGGGCCTGTTGTGTGCATGTGTTGGCCGTGATGCCCTATATCATGGTAGGCTGATCCACTCCTACTTGGTCAAATTGGGTTTAGATGGGGATGTTTCAGTCTGCAATTCTTTACTCAGCATGTATGCAAGGTGTTCAGATTTATCCTCTGCGATGGATGTTTTTCATGAGATAAAGGATCAGGACGTTGTAACCTGGAACAGCATTCTTACTGCCTGTGCCCAACACAACCATCCGGAAGAAGTCCTGAAGTTGTTTAGTCTCTTGAACAAGTCTGAACCGAGTCTGGATAGGATTAGTTTAAACAATGTACTGAGTGCTTCTGCTGAATTGGGTTACTTTGAAATGGTGAAACAGGTTCATGCATATGCTTTCAAGGCAGGACTAGTGGATGATAGAATGCTTAGTAATACTCTAATTGACACTTATGCTAAATGTGGGAGTTTAGATGATGCCATGAGACTCTTTGAAATAATGGGAAACAATCGTGATGTGTTCTCTTGGAGCAGCTTGATTGTTGGATATGCCCAATTTGGTTATGCAAAGGAAGCATTTGATTTATTTTCGAGGATGAGAAGCCTAGGAATCAGGCCAAACCATGTAACGTTTATCGGAGTTCTTACAGCATGCAGCCGAGTCGGTTTTGTTAACGAAGGCTGCTATTACTACAGCATTATGGAGCCTGAGTATGGCATTGTTCCAACACGAGAGCATTGTTCATGTATCGTTGATTTGTTGGCTCGTGCTGGGAAACTAACTGAGGCAGCAAATTTTATTGACCAAATGCCATTTGAGCCTGATATTATAATGTGGAAGACCCTGCTGGCTGCTAGCAAAATGCACAATGATATGGAGATGGGAAAGAGGGCAGCAGAAGGTATTCTGAATATTGATCCTTCCCATTCAGCGGCCTATGTCTTGCTGTGCAACATATATGCTGCTTCTGGCAATTGGAATGAGTTTGCAAGATTGAAGAAGGCGATGAGAACTAGCGGCGTTAAGAAATCACCTGGGAAGAGTTGGGTTAAGCTGAAAGGGGAGCTAAAAGTCTTTATAGTGGAGGACAGGTCACATCCAGAGTCTGAGGAAATATACGCAATGCTGGAGTTAATTGGAATGGAAATGATAAAAGCTGGTTATGTTCCAAAGCATTCATGGAAACATGCTATTGTTGATCATATTGATAGTGATTTGTTCAATGAAGAGATGCTAGCTGAATATGGTTGAGTGGGAGATAAAGAAAACAGTAATTGCTGACTCTGGGGTATTCGCATGTCTTCCTTGTTGTAAGAAATACTTGTTAATCACCAAGATAATTATTAAAGCTTTGTCAGAATTACAATGCAACATACAGAAGTTGCATAAGCTTGGCATCATGCACCATTTGAGAACTTACCAGTATGTTATAGATTATATTTTGCCTAAATAATTTGAAAGAAGAAGTAAGTCTGACCTGGATCTTTCCTTTCCCTCGCTTCACTGCTCATTTATTTGGCTTTCAGATGTGAACTGCCTAACATGAGGAAATATGTTTTGCAAGGTGGGTTCGACAAATCATGCATAGTCAGCCTGCTGAAGGAGCTAAGCTATTCATGTAATCTTGCTAATGATATGCGAAGCACAACTGGGGCTTATGTATTTGTTTGATCTGTCACATATTTCTGCCAAGTAAGATTTAATCCAGTGAGCCATACACAAGGTAAGAGTTTGACCTATTCTAGAATCTCCAAATTCCTGTTTCTATTAATCTACTCTGAGAAGACCTTTTTATCTGTAGCCACTTGTCAATATCGATTTTGTGAACAGGGGGCATTCCTTTTCCTCATCCAGCTTGCTACTCCTTTCTTTGGCTTCCAGATATGAACTTGGCTAACCTGAGGAAATGCGTTTTGCAAGGTTCGTTGACAGTGATCTTGCTATTTGATACATGAAGGCAGGCTGTATTTGTTTTATCAGCCAGATATTTCTGCTATGTAGGTTTCAGTTCAGTGCGCTATACACAAGATGAGAACTTGATCTCTTGCAGAAAGGTCAAAAACCTGTCTTTTAATCTAGGGTTAATTGTATTCATGCCATTACAAATTTGCCCGTTTTGAAAATTATCATTACAAATCTGTTGAAATCGGAAATATGTCACTACTTACGTTCTATATGCACTGATTCCTTTATGGACCAAATTACCCTTATGTTCTACCTCAGTCCCCTCCTCTATCTCTCTCTCCCTGTCCAAGTATCGTCAACGAGACTGGCGTCGGTGGAAGGTGGGAGCAGCAGCAGCCTGATGGCTGGATCCGCCGCGTCACACTGCTCATCGACGAACTCACCTGTGGGGCTTGAGGATCTGGTGAGTAGGTCGGCTTTGCGAGCACATAGTGGTTGCTGAAGTTCATGTGTGTCCCCCCCTGCCCCCTCCTGGGCATGGACAAATCGACATCTTGTCCTCTGCTCCCACCAAATCTCAGCGAACTGCTAAAACTCCTCCCAAAATCAAACCTTCAGCTCAATATGCGCTGAAGCAAACAAGCACCAAAAACAAGACAGGACGCTAAAATCACTCAAAATATCCAATCTTTGCCCAGATGCGAGCAAGTCTGCTCTCCAAAATCCAACCTTTTGACCATCAACCAAATCAGGGGAAGAACAAAGACACGTGCAGAAATTTCTGGAGACAGAAAGAGATTTGAGGAGCCGGGTCCCAGACAAGATAGAAGGGAAAGAGGACAGAAAATTTTGTTGGTTTCATCATCGATTGATGAAGCTGATACACTTCGAGTTTCGGTTTCGTTGGGTGGACGCAAAGTGTGAGTTTGGCTCTGGCGATGGGTGGAAGCGGTGCTCAGCCTCAGGGACGAGGCTGGTTCACCGCCGCTGCTGCTTGGGGATCGAGAGGGAATGAGGGATGGGAGGTAGAGTGGAGAGGACGGAGGTAGAAGATAAGGGCAATGTAACCAAAATAAAATTTCTGTGCATTGACGGAGTAAGTAGTGGCATATCTTTGATTTCAACAGATTTATAATGGCATTCTTCCAATTAGATGAATTGTAATGGCATTTATAGTGGCATGGATCCAATTAACCCTTTAATCTATCACTGATAAAACATGCCTTTTAGAATAGTTGCTTGTCAACATCAATTGCTAGCTATTTCATGAAAAAATAAGCATGCCATATTAAGTTTGGAGGATTCTCCTAACGAAAAGTTCGTAACAATAATCCCATACAAGCTGGCTATGAGGATATGTATTTGATACTTGCAGCATGAATTTTCTGAGCAAGTGACAGTGACACAAGTAACAGCATGATGATGGAGCACTGTAACAATTCCAACAGAGTTAACAACAATATTCTCCATCTTAGAGGTATGACAACACTAACAGGATTAGTACAGACTTACTAGCTAGAGTAGCAGTGATGTGTGGAATACCATGAAAAAAAATATTACTCGATTTTTGTATTAGGTTGCCTTAGCAACTTTGCATGCTAAAGTATATTTTAATATTTCAATGGTGGTAACTTTGCTTTATTCATGCTACAATACTACTGCCCATAACAGATTCTCCCAGCTAGTCAGCTACCCCATGGATGTTTAACATTATGAATGAAATTTCTGATGGGTGATCTTAGTAGTAATTGATGTATTTGTGTGATTGATTTTAAGTTAGAACACAGTGATGAGATTTTTTTATTTTTCTCATAACTCCAACTATACTCAGTAATCAAGTTAAACGGATGGAAATGATAAGTACTATACATTCCTAGTGGTGGAACTGGATGCCCTATGTTGGAAGGAAGTAGGTCCTGTTTCAATAAACATGAGAGTGTATCGACAAGGTGATCTGCAAGGCACTGTAAACCCTCAGTTGGAACTGTTGAATATGAAAGTAGGATCAAATGATAATTTTAATGTCAAAATATACACTCTCTACAAGTATAAAACTCATTTATCTTTTCTACAAAACAATCAAGAATGGAAAGAAATGGCTTTCCAGGTCCTTCAAATTCAACGAGCAGGCATGCAGTGTGCATATACTAGATCTACACTAAGCAAGAGAAGTCTTAGCAGTCATGAGATACACCATTTGCTTTTTTGGTATCACTGTTGTCTTTGGTTGCCAAAAGTGGTTCAGTCTCCTTTTCTGGCATCTACAAAGACATTTAAATCATGAAATGAGTGAAATGAAAATTTAAAGTGCACATAAATTGAAGATTACCAACTTATTTGCAATGTGTTCACCATGCGGAAACTATACTGGAATTTGTAAAGCATGTCGGGAAACTCATTCAAAATCTAGTAACTTATAACGATATGATATTAGTATCTCATAAGACTGTCAATTGTAATTAAATTTACAATCAATAATTTGGTTCCACATTGGATGTGTTTAGCAGAAACATGATGTAAGAAAGTTTGTAGAAACGTAGGTCAAATTGCACTTGAAGTGCTCAATCTATTTAATAAGTTTGCATTTCTAATGGAGTCCATCTAATAAATTTGTTGATATGAGGGCCTGAGCATCATTTTGTCTATTCCAGTGACTATACCTTCCCTTTACAGTGTTTTGATAAAAAAAAAATGTCTATACTTTAATTTTGTTGATAACTGCCTCAATTATTTTAAATGTTTATTAAGTCCCACAGTTCCTCTACATAAACAAACAAAAAGGAGAGAAGCTTGACCAATATTGTTTATGACATGTGGGCCCATTTTGTCATCTAATGGCAGTTGTAACAGAAGAATTAAATTAAATATTTTAAAATAGCTGAGGCACTGAAACCAACAAATTTGAAGTATAGGCACTTGATTAGACAAAATAGAATTTAGGCGCTCATACCAACAAATTTAATTAGAGGACTTGTCTAGTACCCCCTCCATCTAAAAGTCTAAGGCATATTTCTTTTGTCACCAAGATCAAGAAGGAATTAACTCATCCACCATGTGACAAAACCAAGAAACCATATGCATGCAACAATTTAATTTAGCACATGCAGCCTACAAATATGCCTTAGACTTTCGGATGGAGGGAGTACTAGATAAAATGCAACAGTTTAGACACTCACAAGTCTTTTGGCTTGTGAATGCATAAATTGTGCCAGCTTACTTTTATTGGCTAGTATCTCTTTCTGCACATAAGTTATTTTTATGCCTTTCTTTCGCCACCAAAGCAATTTGAAAATGCTGATTCTGCACGCCAATTTCATTTCATTTGCAGTTTCAATTTTCAAATAGGATTTTTTATTTAATTGTTAATGCATAATGAATTATTTATTGTTGTTGCTGAGACTAGGAAGCAGAACAGTTGTTGGCATGATTGTGATATGTGGATTAGTTCATATGCTTTCAAATTGGATTAAAATATGGCAAAGCCAAACCTGTGAAACTGGCAGTGGATCATTTGTTGCCTTCTTCTTGCCCTCCTTCACTGAGAAGTAGGAGTACAATCCCATCCCAAATATGGCGATCAAAATTCCTAATATGTTCCTTGCGTTGAAAGGATCGTGTAACAGAATGTATCCAAATGAGAGAACGAGACATGTCTTAAGGTGGCCTAGCACCTGGTATGTAACTGGAGATGTTGTTCCAATCACAAGAAATGTGCTGAAGTTCACAGACACCGCAATCAAACAAGATAGCATGATGAAACCCTGCATATAATTCATAATTCAAAACATCATTTTGCATGCCATTTTCCTATCCAAATTTATGGTATATCTGCATATCTGGGAGCATTTGCCAATGCTAAATAGATGTGCAAACTCCTGAGTCACTCTGGAGCATGATAACTGATTGACAGTGTCTAAGAAATGATGATGCATTATATCAACAACATTGCAAGCTACAATCATATTGGACTTTTTGTCTACTTCCATACATATCATTGTATATTTTCTCAGTACTGGAAAAACATTGCATACAAGGAACTTTTATGTGTTTGGCATTTAGTTGCCCACTGATCAATTTTATATTGCGTCCTTTTCTTCTTCATACCACTGGTTATTCTTCCCTTGAAAAGCATATAATAATGTTTTAAACATACTTTTAGGACATATCAATTTCAAGATGGGAAATATAATACAATGGGTGGATCATGAAATTATATTCTAATCTTATGTTTAGACTTCTTGGCTAGTTATTATGGAAGCAGCAAATATATTTGTCACCTTAGCGCCTCTAGTAATCTTGAAGATCTAAGAAATGATGAATTGTTATATTCCACAAAGTAATTTAGCTTGCATCCTGGCAACTATAAAGCATTTTCATATAATTGTAAATGGATGGAGTTTGTTAAGAAGATACCAAAACTGGAGTGGTGTACTTGTGGGCGAAGACACTGCGGTTCGTAAGGAGTTGATCTACAAAAGGGCCAGTCGCAAACAAAATTGCTGCCTGGTAAGGTGCAGATTGGTAGAGTAACTGCGTTGAGGATACCTTCAATCTCTTCTGTATTGTATTTGTGAGCTTCATTCAAAATTTTCAGGTTAAGGATACTATATTGTCATGGTTGGCAAGGTAGGGATTAGCCCATTTTTATGTCAGTAGTGTGGACGATGCAAGTCCATCGACAATATTCAAAATGAACCATAGCAATATCTAATCAGAACTCGGTGTTTAGCTAATTACTGACGGGGTATTCATTGTGCCTAGTTTATTTAACAAAACCTACTTTACAGCTGGAAAATGAGATCAGAACATAATATTTTAAAGTAGTTTTTTTATCAGTTTGCATTTCATTTACTTCACCACTTCTTTTTCAGATGTGCACATAAATACTAAAGGTAGGATACAATTTGCCCAACACAAGTGGTCGCGATGGCGAGTCCAGAAAGGACGGATCCAAGTAGATTTAGCTTGAGATCAGTAACTGAAGCAATGCCCACTCCAAGAAGTAAGACCAGTAGAGAAAGCTTGATACTCTCGCTGCACATTTTTGGACTATCATTAGCTCAATGACTATAGAATAGATACCTTGATGACCTTCAAGCAATGACTCAACGATTGATTCAACAGAATGCGTTTATATAAATTTTTGTGTTCACTTCAGTATTTTATGTGCAACATTGGCTATCTTGTATCTTTAATTCGACCTTAAATGAGGTGCGGTGGATAGTTGTTCACTTGTTAAGAGAGTGCTCAGTTTACATTTCAAAACCTGAATCTTTTCTTCAGGAAGATTGTCTCCAACAGCACAGTGAAAGGTATGATCGCCAATTTTGTCATCTGCAGAATACTTAAGTTAGTGTGCTTGTTCCATGTTTTGTAGGAAACAACCAAAGAGATGACAGTACACCTAACCTGGTAGAATCCAATGGAGTTGAATCCTAAACTAAGGTTGAGAAGGCCAATTGAGGTGCCATTCAGCAACCCAAAGAGGATCACTGTTTGCCCATCAATTGCCTTTGGTTCAAAGAAATGCAAGCGTTGTGCCACATGGAGGGTGCAGAAGGTCATCATGAGATGCCAGCTTGTCAATGTTGTAGCTACATAGGTGCAAAAACAACAGAATACAGCATTAGTAAGCATGCTTGTTTGGTACATGCATTACATTCTGTTATTCAAATTATGTTCAAATGTACTAACCGAAAGGGAAACCAAGGGTACTGATGAGAGCTTTGTTGCAGATGACAATGGCAACTGATGATGCAACCGACAGCGCAAGAGACCCGATCACACCGAGCTGGAACCCAGATGACATCATCATTTGCTATTGTTATCTTCTCCTCTGAATTCACATTACACATGAAGAGGTCAGTGCAAGGTATATTTCATTGAAGGTGAAGCACCAAAGAATTTTAGTAATGGTGTCTATTAATTCCACTAAGCAGCAGCATGATACTCGAGCAAACAGCTTAATCAATATTAGTTTGCAAGCATCAATAAAAGGATTACTTTATAACATCGAACTGACAGATGTTTCTGGTTAACGAAAAAATCTCATGACATGAAAAGCATTGAAGAAGGACATGAATTAGATTGAACAATTAAAAATATCAACGGTTATATCTTACTCCCCCTGTCCCAAAATATAAGGATTTTTAGCATAGTGACAAGTCAAACATTTTTAACTTTGACTATTAATAGCAAAAATATAGAAAAGATTAATCATGTAAAATTGATGTTACTAGATTCATCATTAAACAAACTATCATAATATACAACTCTTTTTATTTAAAACATCTTACTTTTATAGATATTGTTTGTCAAAGTAGCATCTCGGAGACCGTGTCAGACTCTAAAAATGCTTATATTTTGGAATGAAGGGAGTAAATAATTCATAGATGCACGCTCACTCAAAATCATTCTTTCTAGGGGGAGACCTGTTCTGTGTCATCTCTTGGGAAGCATTAATGTTCTATTTGCTATCTATGAATGGATATTTTTAGCTTTGATTCCCTTTTTCTGCAACATATTTTTCTGTAGTATTCCTGGGTGTTTTTTTTTTCCTGAGTATTCCTTGCAGTTAACCGTGTTCTTGAGTAGATTCTGATATCTTGGTTCTAACATGTTTGGCCATGGATGGACCCAATTACGGTTAGGCAGTTAGGTGCCAGTTTGGCTATTTGTTGCCGACGGTTTATGGAGAGGGATACTGACAAAACTACGATCAACTAATCCATGGACCAAGCACCACAGAAGGCCGATGGTATCTCCAAGATTGTTATTAGGTCATGGTACAACTGAAGTTTGTCATAGTCACAGAATCATGAAAATGACCTATAAGCTTGGCATTGATTAACCCGCACTTGCACCTCTTGTACATTAGCACATTAGCATTTAGGAGTACAAGCTAATCACATCACATCAAACCGTTTTAAAGACTAGTAGGTGAAGCTTGACTATAAATTGACTAGGGCTCAGTCCTGACCATGGATTATTGCGAATGTTGGAAGTCTTTTTATAGATTAGTAATTATGTTATTTAGCATGCATCTATATAAATTTCAGACCAAAGTATTCATGAGCCAGTCAGTAGCCTGTCATGATTCAGCCATTTTGCTTTTGTCCTGTAACAGAGAGTTGGTACCTGCTACCTACCGGGCTGCTTCTTGGAGGGTACAATGATCGATCGAAAGGTGGTTCAAGTCGATGTCAAAATGGTTGATCAGTTGGCAAAGTGTCAACCAGACACCAAACACATGCAATGCAAGCAAACATGAGTGAAATCCAACGCAGGCTTCATGTGTTTGGTGGTCACGTCGTAAGCAAAATGATTACAAGATGAGAAGACAGGCTTTTGGATTAATGTTTCAAATTACAAGGCAAAATTCTGAATTAATATATAATCCGTTACATGGGTCATGGATACCCATTATTACGGGTTACTTTTCTAAAATTGAACTTCTATGTTTCTTCTCTTTTGCCAATTAAATTTAAATGGATCCAAGTTTGCAGTCAGTCTAGGATTGACAAAAAGCGGTTGGTAGAACCGGAAAAGGCTAATTGCCGAGTCTTCCTCTCAAGCAATTTTTTGCTTGATTGGACTATATGTTAATCCTTAATTATATTATTTTTTCTTTTTTTGAGGGTAATTATATTATTTTTTCATAAATATATCTTGGTTTATTCCAAGAGAATCGGAAAAATCAGTAATTCATTTTTATACAATTAGCCACCGCCTTAAAGAATATAATATAAGATAATTAATCCTGGTGCGTGTAGACATGCAAATCGATCAGATTTAAAGTTGCCAACTCATGTTCATGCAAGTGTCCAGGATCAGGCTCACAAGCTAGTTACTTATCCCTAACAAAGCTAACAATGCCGTAACGGCAAGGGTAGACAGCTCGACTATAATCTCAAACCATGACATGAGACGAGACTGTTTTTCATACACTTGCCTCTGAATTAAAGAACAAATACATGATCTCGATGAATACAAATTGCAGATAATTTGGCATACTGAAAACTGTGTTTTGTCTAGAACAGAAAATACAACATAGCAACAGGCAAAATCCTATCAGAGAACAGTAAAATGCTTCTCCGTAAGTGAGAGATCACAAAGTTTTTTTTTGTTTTTTTTTTGCGAAATGTTTACATTGTCCATAAATAAGTTTAGTTTGAAAAATCTCCGTAAGAAGGAAAAGAAAGACCAAACATAAATAAGTTGAAGTAGTAAGGCAGAGCATATAACTTACTGAAATTCAGAAACAGCAATCCCTGCTTGCTAACTTCGTCTCCTCAAAGAAATGAAACAACAGAGCTGTAATAATGAACCTGGCAAAGAAAGAGATTTGCATTGAGATCATCGGAAAAATAACACCACGACGAGACACATGAAGGAAACGATTGCTCTTCTCTGAAGATCAATTTCAGTTCAGACCTTCCCAAATTGCTGCTGCTCTCTATACTGATGATCTACTCCTTGTTGCTCCTTCCTCTTCTCGCCGTCGCCGCTCTAACAACCTATAGAGATACAAGAAAAAAGAGAGATCTAGAGAGAAAAAGAGAGAGATATCTAGAGAGAGAGAGAGAGAGAGAGGCTATGGCTCTCCTTGGTATGGTAGAGAGAGGAAGGGAGGGAGGGAGGGAGAAGCAGTTTTTATGTCCAAAATTTTTGTGTATGGTAGGCATCATATGCAGTTAGGTGCATTGCGTGCTTTGTTTTGATGCTGTCAACTCACAAGCGGATGGAATGGATGCTTTCCTTTGATTTCATTGCCTTTCCTTTCCTTTCCCTTGGGGAGTCGGCCACAAGGGCAGCATATCGTGCAACGTGCTGCTGCCCCAGGAATCAACACCAACACATACTTACACATACGTGGTGTCCATGAATTTTAGTTTATGCGTAATTTGTTGACATAAATATGCTGGCAACAATGCAACAAGCATTAAAAATCTTTAGGAAATCCTACATTACAGACATGATTTGACCATATGTCCAATGTTCAAATTATTTTATTATGGGCTATATCAATTGTCGGTTGCACAAACGACACTAGTTATACGATGCTTGGATAAATGATACTCCCTCCGTTTCACAATGTAAGTCATTCTACCATTTCCCACATTTATATTGATGTTAATGAATCTAGATAGATATATATTCATTAACATCAATATAAATATGAGAAATGCTAGAATGACTTACATTGTGAAACGGAGGAAGTACTAGGATATTTTTACTGCAGCGGCTTGGATTGGATTCCATTATCGGAAGAAAAGTTTAGCACTTGAAACCTAACATTGTTGTTTCATCTCTGTTGATATTGATGATTTAGGGTCTAACTGTTTGCTCATAAAAAGGAATTTATAAGTAAAATTTTTATATATGTGTTCTTGGTGACTTAAAAGTCAATGCAGAAAAAGGAACCACGTTAAAAATATCTTAAATCATTCTCAAAATTAAGTTTGAAAATTTAAATTTTGGTTTTTTCTTTGGCTGATTAGGACATCCTATGAGGATTTTAATTTTTTTTATATGGACTGACTGTTCAAGCAGAGGTCAAATTTAGCTGGTGTCTCTCTCTGTTGGGTTGATTTGTCTTGTGGGGGCATGACAACCACTTGGTTTGTTGGTTGTCTCTAGCCATCATCTTTGGTCCCTTTTTCTCAACCAAACCATTAGAGCAAAATCTTTTTCTTAATTTTCAAGGACCTTGCGAAAAGGATATTTGATCTCAATTGTGCGTGGAATCTTAACTCAAATTCTCATTTTATGCTAAACAACCCACATTAGGGTCACCATTGAAGAGAAGGTTTAGTTTCATTAGTTTTCTATCATATTTCTGTTAGACGCAATGCATAAATCTCTAATTGTACGTGTAACAGTTCTAGCAAACAAACATAAAAATTGGAAGAATAGAAGAATGGCACTACACTAAAATGGCCTTCACCGTTCCAAGATAAGGCAGCATGTTTAATTTGTTTCCAGTAGTTTCTTCCATTATAAGCTCTACAGTAGCTTCAGTTTTGCACGAATCTATCAATTCAATTTCCACGTTGTCGAGAATAAGTTTTTCTCTTACAGGCAAAAAAGGGAAAACAAATACAAGGCAGCCCCAAAAAAGAAACTCAAGATGACCAATCAGCCGAGGCACACTGTACAAGTGCAACACATCAACCTGTTGTCAGATGCATCATATGCCGGAGAGCTGTTGGCTGTTGCATCGACCTAACAAAGGGACATAACATCACATCTAATCAACAAATTAAATCAAGCCAAGCTAAAAAGGATCACCAAAACATGTTGTAATAATAATACACAATATATAATATAATTTTGCATAAAAAATTTTGTCTGCCTTGCTTTTGTCACTTGGGGCACAAGCTTGGAAGGAGGGGATAGGTGGTTGTAAAAGCATCAAAGGCTTCCCGGCAATGCAAGCAACGGCAATGGCCCAACCACAGCTGCACGTACACCCGGTGATGACAAGAGCAGAGCAGCTCCATTACATTTTGATTTCTGCAAATTGTTGTTTGGTGAAACTTCGGCCTCACTCTCTCCTTTTTGTAAATTTTGCTACACTGTTTCAATAAGCTCACTATAAAGAGGTTATCATTGAAACGAACAAAATTTGATTTTAGATTAAGGGCCGATCTTTGTAGTCCCTTCTCTTTTTAAATAATTATTCAGTTCGAAATTTGACAACTCATCATTTTTACGAAATATTTGCGAAGTCTTGAAAGGATGATAAATTCTTAAATTGTATTACTCCATTAATTTAGTCTAACCATTTTAGAGTAATTAGTTAAATTCATGGTAAAGTCAGAATTGATAGCTACTTGAAAATGGAGGGAGCATGCAATCTCATGTCCATTTGGGACACGAGAAAAATTCCGCGACTCTAATAGTAAATAAATTATTTTTTAGTTGAAATATATGCATTCTAACATGGTTGAAACATAAGAAAGAAAACTTGTAATTATCTGCTGCTTCTAGAAACAAAGTATTACGGCTATGCCGAAACTTGAATAGGAACAAAATACTACCGTAAATGGTCTTTACAGGAGATGCTAATACTACTTACTGCTTCTGGAGAGGCTTCCCTTCATTCTTTCCTTCGTTTGCTCGTCACTTTGGGCCAAAGCAAGATGGAGAAAACGTGATGGTCACTATTCGCTCGAGCAGTTCATCTTAGGAAATTTAACTATTTTATTACTATTAGATGAGGGCAACTACACAACAGGATCCTGTTGTAACGGAATACATTATGAATCTAATTCCCCCGTTTTTCTTGTTCCCATGCTAGCGGCGACCCCTCACCTTTTTGCCCCCACCGACATCAACAACAAATAAGAGGAGAGATACGTTGAGGAGAGGAACTGAGGAAGGGAGAACAAAAGAGGAGGCAATGACATGTGGCTGGCGGTCAACCAAGCGGTGACGGCATGCTCCCCTTCCCACATCTTTGACATGGTACCTGTGGTACCATAGGTATCAGGTATCAGGTACCACCTGATACCTATAGGTACCTAGTATCTGATACCATGCACCTGGTACCATGAATACTAGCTGGTACCTAGGTACTAGGCATTATACCCTCGAGGTACCAGATCAGTCGTGCCGTATCTGAACATAACACTAGCGAGCAGAAGCGATGGGATGGCAAGCACGATAGCTTCGAGCGTCGTCTGCATGACAACCTTGAGGCCATGATACCCACAAGTACCGGGGTCTGATACCTAGGTATCAGCCATGATACCAAAGATACCAGTATCGGACATGGTACTTACAAGTATCGACTGTGGAGGTTGCATTTCACGATATACCTGCACACACTCCGGCGAGGAGCATGATAGCTCCGCTTGACCGGGCGTGCCTAGGAGAAGGGCGCAACTGCCATGTCCACCTCTTGCTTGGGCTCCAAGGCAGCGCCGGCGCTGCCGCTGTAGTACAAGGCGCTCTGCGCCAGTGCGCCGCTGACGAACAATGCGGCGGCTTCGGTGTGGCCGTCGAGGAGAGGATGGTCGGCGAGGAGGAGTTGGCTAGGGATACCTACTCCCTGATGCACGAGTCCCAGCTTGTGTTGACCTCCGCTGCCTTCCGCGGCCAGTGCTCCCCCGCCACGGCGTACTGCTGCTGCAGCACCATCGCCGCCACCAAGTCTACCTCGCTGGCTTGCCCGAACGCGAAGGCGGTGAGGAAGGTTTGGATAGAGAAGAGAAAGGGAAGGGATAAGATTGATCCACTCATTTAATTTATCCTGTATTGACGGGACACCGTTCCACAATTTTTCTGTATTAGATTTGACAATAATTCAAATACCTTATTAGAGTTGCTCTTATTTTATTCTCTAAAGATATGATTTTACTATTTAGCACTTTTACCCACATGACATATCAAAGCATGGCTACATATAGTGAAAAACGGTGTGGTACGCATTTGCTAGTCTTTGCTCTTCCGTAGTTGACTAGGCGGCGGTGCCATGCGGAGAGGCCCATGCGGGGCCTGGAGTGGAGGTCGGTGGCTGTGACAGCCCTATCCCCATCACGCCCCCGTCCGCCTTCATGGCATCGATCAAGTTCCGCAATGACAAATGCCCACTGATGCCGGCCAAGATGCCAATCGGGGTACTCAGTTTGCTTTTTCAGTCTATCCTCTCCGCCGGTGGCAACCCCCATGAGCTTCAATTCAACCTCTCCACCTCCTCTAAGCCGCAGCCCGGTGACTTCTCATCCTCTGCTCCTTACTACCCCTGCCCCTGCCTTGGTATGGTTAGCGAGGTCTCAGACAGCGACGACCATGAGCACGAGCTGAACAACAAGGCATTCTCGTTTAGCAGAAAAGGTTCGTGGCAAGGAAGAGCAGCGGGGTCAGCACACTGCTATCCAGGATGTGGGTCATCACGAGGAGCATGCTCCTATTGTAGGGTCGCCGCTGGCGAAGAGGCCGGAGTGGAAAGACAGACTAAGCACCCTGATTAACACCTTGGTCCACATCAGCACCCGGTCGTTATCACAGAACTTGATTGATGCCATGAAGGCTGACGAGCGCGCGCCAGGAAGAGGGCCGCGCAGTCATCGATCTGCCTTTCCGTGCGGCGCCACCGCCTGGTCAACTAGCAGAGGGAAAGATAAGGGGAGTGGAGAGTGACTAGTAGACCCACACTATTTTTAAACATGGGTTGTCATCTGAGAAAAAAATGACAAATAATTAAGAAGCCATCTCCTCCGAGGGAAAATGACAAATCTAAAAGCTATTTGGAGAATTTCCAAACCTTGTTATGAATAGTTAAATTTCATAAAAGAGTTTCCGTTATGCAGCCCTCGAATCTGATCGTTGCTGCTTGCTCACCTTTTGATTATGCAAGGATTTTCATATTTTGTACTACTATTTAAGAATAGTTTTGAAAAGGCATTTTATTTTGTCTTCTTGATATTTTTTGGAAAAAAATAAAATAAGTACAGAGCCTTGCAAACCAAGCGACGGATTAGAATAGTTTTGAAAAGACATTTTATTTTGTCTTCTTGATATTTTTTGGAAAAAACATAAGTACAGAGCCTTGCAAACCAAGCGACGAAAAAAATCCGTGGTAGATTGGTTTGGTACTAACATCAATCACATAATAAGTTATAAAATGGTAACACACCACAATGTAGTACTTTGTCCGGTCACATAATACTACCTCCGTTCTAAAATAAAGTTATTTCTAGCACGGTGTCTTATCCCAAAACGAAGCCATCTCTTCACCTACCTTCTCATCTCAACTAACCATAATTATTTTATATTTAATTCCTTCACTACTTTCTTTTCTTAACTAATCACAACTTTCCTTTATTTAGAGCTACTTTCTTAATACCTGTGTATGAAGTACAATGTTTTATATATGTCCTATCAATATGAGTTAACTTCAATCTTAGTTTAACTTTTAAACCTACAACCGTAGAAGTACAGAAGTCCAACCCTATAGTTATAATTATTTTTATTTTGCTTCAATCATGTGTCTTTAGGTTTATAAATTGTGGCCGTAAAAAGGCCTTCCGAAGTACGGCCTCTCAGTACAGCCCCTCATAAAGTCATAATGATCATGCAAGTAATTATGTAATTTATGAAAAAAATGGTACTCTTCCCGTTTGTTTCATATTATAAATCGTTTTAATTTTTTAAGCTAAACTTAAAAATATAATAATATTTTCAACACAAAATAAATATATTATCAAAATATATTAAATACTAATTTTAGTAAAATTAATTTGATTTAGTAAATATTGCTAATTTATCTACAAACTTAATCAAACAAATTTGACTAAGAAAATAGTTGTGCAATTTAAATAACAGATAAAGTAAAATTTGCCTATGTACCCGCTCCATAAGAAAAAACCCAATCCTACCTACGAACACTTGTCCAAGTTTATTACTAGGGGTTATCTTTTTTTAGTCTAGGTTTATTACTAGGAGTTGTCTTTTTTTTTTTTTTTACGGAGTAGTAACTTTCAAGAGAAGAACTATTGTTTCTGTAACTTGAAGAGTATCTGCCATTTTGATCCACCCACAACCCCTAACAAGTGAAATACAGCAGCAAAATTTCTATTTACAGTTGAAACCAAAATAAATCACACGAAGCTCCAGATTTGCATACACCAAAGCAGTAACCACGATAGGTCTTGTTCTTGTTCGGTTAGTTCCTCTTCAAAAGGGATAGAGGAGAATTTTTTCACATCTAGTTGTGAAATTGATCCCCTCAATCTCCTCTGATTCTCATATTCATTCCCCTCTGATTCTCTTATTCATTCCTGATGGGAATTAAATTAACCGAACAAGCTCATAAGGAAGCAATTAATATTGCAGGTAATTGAAATTTTTCTCAATAACTTCTACCATCAATCGAGAATTTGACATAAATTCAGTGACAGAAGAAATTACACCCCATGTAGGCATGTAGCAGGACATGAACACTAGATCAACAAGATAACATATATCGCTAGAGAACACTATCGGCCTACGTCGTTCAGCCCATTGCATATTTCTGGGTCCAGCCCCTCGCAGTTGATTCATATTTGGCCCGATCAGTCTTGTACATGTGCGCAATCTCCGGAACTAGCGGGTCGTCTGGGTTTGGGTCCGTCAGTAGAGAACAAATTGAGAGGAGTACCTGAAAATTGTGTCAAACGTTAGATAATTCGTGCAACTGGAAAACAAAAGTTACTCCAACCAGATTAGCACGCAGGTGATATACGGTGTTGGGCATTTGTTAAGCCCTAGAGACTATGAGAGCTCCAACTTCCTAACATTTCTATGGTGCCAAAGTGCCTAACTTCTCAAGTAAGTAGTTTCTATGTGACAACTTCAAAGAAGCTAAGCTTTTGCACATGCACAAGCTGTCTCAAAGGGTTTCTTGACTTAGTTGGAGAGGGAGAGGATCAATTCACCTTTGACACTGTCAATGCAGGGCTCCACTGTTCCTTCAGGATATCAAGGCAGATGCTTCCGTTACTGTTGATGTTTGGGTGGAAAACCTTTGTCTTAAATGCAACCTGAAAAATGATTGTTATCAGAACAAAGCTACAGTGACCGTTGAACTCAAGTGAAGCATTTTTTTTTATGGTGGTGGAAGAAACAAGCATTTTCATAGTTTGTTGAATTGGTAACGCACATTTGCCAAAGTGAATCAGGACCTTTACAAAACTAACATTTACAGGTATATTATGCTTTGTAAAGGATCAGTTAGAACTCCACTTTGAGACTGAAATTAACAGGACATTTTATCCCTAGCTATGAATGCTTAGAGCAGAGCCCTAACAGCAAATATCTTGTAATCAGTTACTCAAGGGCCTTAAGATTATATAAAATTGAAGCAAGTGATGCTCTTATAATAAACTTCCACAAGTCCTAAAAACAAACAGTTTCCTGAACAACACAAAAAGAAGTGGAAGGAATGTATACCTTGGGCGGTTTGAACGGATAGTCTGGAGGGAAGTGAATAGAAACCAAGAAGACGCCACCTGCATATGGACTATCTGCTGGACCCATAATCGTAGCTTGCCAGTGGAACATATCTTCTCCCACAGGGCCTGTTAGGCGTATTTCGCGTGTTAGTCATACAAAGGTACTCCAATCCAATCTCAATTGTTGCAATGCATTTGAACAGAACATATCATGAAACCAATATTCGCCACACAAGTTGTCACATTCAGTTAGAAATATCAAAACAATTCTACAACATCCACATGTCTTGTTTGGGGTACACTAGCATGTAGACAAGAACAATTATCATCACACACATATTGAGGGTATTATTATTTCATCGGTACACAAGAATTAGTTCCAGTTACACAAATTGTTGAGTTGTAAACAACGATTGTGGCCTGGTATCATTGCCAACGAGACTTATCCATGTCCTAGATATGCTACCCCATGCTTCCACAAATTACTAAAACAACGAAGGTATACTCCTAACTAAGCAGGTTGAACGAACAATAACCTCTAAAACCGTATATCCCTCTATCCAGCGTCTCTGCTTGAGCTCTCTATCCTTCTATCCAGCCAGCCGTAATAAGCGTTAAATTTGCGAAAGAAGAACAATTAACAGCTCCAGAATTATAACAAAACGCAGCTCCACACCCGCTCAGGGGATAATAATATGCACGAAATTGGTAGCAAAACCATAAACAAACACAAAATTGCAGCACTGCACAGTATGACCTCCCCCTCCTCCCCTTCCCTTGGTTCAAAATTTTTTCGAAAGCTAAAGAGTCAACAGAGGATTCCACTATCCAGCAGCCGGCACGCTAAGAAGTCGATGAATCGACAAGAAACAAAATCGCCCGTGAACCCTGGAATTGGGGGACAGCGAAGAAGAAGAAGAGGAGGATACCTACCAGCGCTGCAGGAGGTTGGGGGATCCTTCTGCAGGTCCTTGAGCTCCTTGAGGATCCGCTTGGACGCCATGGCCGGAGGGGAGAGGGGAGGGAACGCGAGGTGGGGAGGCGGAGAGCGGCGGGCGACGGCGCGAATAAATAGATTGGGTTGGGGGAATCGAAGGTGGTGGTGGGCTCTGGAAGCTTCCAGGCGCGCACGCGGTCTGGGTTTGTTTGGGTCACGGCCACGGCACGGCAGGAGAGCCCACGAGTCCATGCGGGCCGTCGAGGGATTCCTTGCTTCCGTCCACGTCTCCTCGCATCGGTTCGCCGTTCAACGCTTCAGCCGCGTGGTCAGCCAGCCACCAACAAAGACTGCCCGCGGGATGGACTGCGTGGTGATGATGCCAAAACGGGGACTCAACCCTACACTGTTCTAAATTCGACAGTAAGAATGTCATATATGGCCCTGTTTAGCCCACATAAAATTTTTTTCACCCTATCACATCGAACGTTTTAACACCTATATGAAGTATTAAATATAGGCTCAAAAATAACTAATTATACAGATTGCGACTAATTTGTGAGACGAATCTTTTAAGCCTAATTGCTCCATGATTTGACAATGTGGTGCTACAGTAAACATGGCTTAATAAATTCATCTCGCGGTTTCCTGACGGATTCTGTAATTAGTTTTTTATTAGTGCCCGAACACCCCATACGACACCCTATATAATACCCGATGTGACACGCCAAAACTTTACACCCCTCAATCTAAACACCCCTATATCAGGTACTCCCTTCATCCAAAAATACCTAAATTGAAGGGAGTATGCTGCTGCCAAAGTGATTTTTTTTTACTTATCCACTGAAAAGGAATAGGAACGTGTGTGTCAGGGTTATGGATAAAGCATACCTCCTATCCTATGATTTACCAAATATACCGGATTTGGCATACCTCATATCCTACGATATGTTTCCGTATGTGATAAGGAAATACACAAGATATTATAGAAAATATTCTCACGGGCTGGAGATTATCAGAGTCCTACTCGAAAAGGACAGGGACTATTCTATATCGTGTATGGTTCGTTGTCCCCGAGTTCTACTTGAAGACTAAGGGCAACTCATGGTATAAAAGGCACACCCTCGGAGAGGCTCAAGATCATCGAATCATAACGCCAATACACCCACCATAGTTTACGAAGCCAAAGGACTCAAGCCGAAGCCGCCTGGAGATCTCGTCGACCAATCTCGACAAGGATCTCGCTGGTATCATCGAATTCATCTTTTCCCTTTTGTATTCTATGGTTTTGCATATCAATCTAATATAAATTGGATTAGGGCTATTACCTCACGAGGGGTCTGAACCAGTATAATCCTTGCCTTTTATCTGCTTTGATGTCGTATCGTGTAGATCCTCATACCAATGTACCCCAATACCCTATTTATCCGATCTACGGGTATTCCTCGTCGACCGTGTGTTCCAATATGAGGTGTCGATGGCTAGGTGCTAAGTTGGTTAATAACGAAAAGAGAATAAAAACACAAATCCTATCATAGTGTAAACTTACAATCCAATAAATCCTAAAGTTTAATATACAAAGATATTATATCATCATTCACTAATAACTATTACATCTTAAACATCAAGCATGCTATATTATCTACAATTCTATAATTTATTAAATTTTATAGCTTTAGAAGGTAATCATGTTAAATTATTATCTCACATAATTCACATAATATTTAAATATATTTTTACATCATTTTCTATAATATCCTATATACCTATATATAGTAATCCTCACTTAATTAATTTTATTTCTCTCTTATCTCACTAAGCCTTATCACATCAATTTTTTAGCCTTTAAATAATTAATCTATGATCCAAATTACCTCTCTCATTTTCTTCTCTAATAAAGCCACATCACCTTATCATCATTCTATATACTATTTAAATTATTATAAACCATATAACGTATCCAAGCTTATATTTACACATTATTTCTACTTATTGCAATCATACTAAACTCCCGCAGTAACGCACATGGTTTCACCAAGTAATAAAAATTTATGCGGTTGAATGGGGGACACGCTTTAGTACTTTTTTTTTCTTTTTTTCAGCTACCAGAGAAATATAATGTTGGAGAATTCTAACGTGTGAGTATACCCGCTACCAAGTTAAGAAAGAGGATACACAACATGAAAAAAAAATACAAAATTTGTGTAGTTAAGTGGGACACACGCTTAAATACTTTTTTTTTTCAACGCAACCAGAGAGATAAGAATGACAAGCAATTCCAACGTACGAGGATACCGACCGCAACCAGGTTGAAAAGGGAAAGACTAGTTTGCACGGTTGAGTGGGGTACACGCTTTAATACTTTTTTTTTCTTTTTGCGCGACTACTATAGATAAGAATGACATAGAATTCCAATGCATAAGACTATCAACCTCAACAAGTTGAAAACAAAAAGATAATATTATACCACACTGAAAATACTAGTTTGTGCAGTTGAGTGGGGCACATGTTTTAATACCTCTTTCTTTCTCCGCGACTACTAGATATATGAATGACAGAGAATTCCAACATGTGAGACTGACTGCTACCAAGTTGAAAAGGGAAAGATAATATACAAACACGAAAAATACATGTTTGTGCGGTTGAGTGGGAACACACGGTTTAATACCTTTTTCTTTTTACACGACTACTAGAGATAATAATATAGAGGATTCCAATCTGTGAGGCTACCAACCGCTACTAACTTAAAAAGGAAAAGATAATGTACAACATTGAGTTTGGACAGTTGAGTGGGGGCACATGCTTCAATACCTATTTTATTTTTACGCAACTACTAGAGATACATACTGTCGGATAATTCCAACGTACGAGGCTACCAACCGCTACCAGGTTGAAAAGGAAAAGAGGATAAGAACACATAAAATACAAATTTAGGCAGTTAAGCAAGGCACTGACATTAATACTTTTTTCTTTTTTTGCATGGCTATTGAAGAGAGTAACAAAACATGAGAGAATTCTAACGTGTGAGGCTACCAATCACTACCAGGTTGAAAAGGGGTAGAGGATATGCAACAAGCAAAATACTAATTTGCGTGGTCGAGTGTAGCACACGATGTATTTTTTCGTGACTATTGGAGATACAAAATGTCGAAGAATTCCAACGTGTGAGGTTATCGACCGCTTCCACGTTAAAAAGGAAAGAGGATATGCAACACAGAAAATACTAATTTTCTTGGTCGGGTGGAGGACACGATATAATACCTTTTTCTTTTCGTTTCATTTTGCCACCAGTGGAGATACAGAATGATGGAGAATCCTATCTTACTATAAAGTTATCCCCCACTAACTCCTTAAGCTTAACATGCAAAGATGCCACATCATCATTCACTAACAAGATGCCACATCATCATCCACTAACTATCATTACATTTAAACATCATGCAAACATGCTATATTTTTATAATTTTTATAATTTAAGAGCTTTTCAATACAAACATGTTAAATTATCATCCAACATAATTCACATAATGTTTCAATGTATATCTTTATTTTTATGATATCTATATATTTATATAGTTCATCCTCACTTAGTTAGTGCTTAAATGATTAATCTATGGTCCAAATTATCTTTCCCCTTTTCTCCTTTTTCCTCTAATTAAGTCATATCACATTAATTGTTTTTAGCCTTTAGATAATTAATCTACGGTCCAAACTATCTCCCTACTTTTCTTCTTCCATAAAGTCATACCACCTTACTTTTTACGTTTGAATCACCATTCTACATACTATTTAAATTTAAATTATCATAAACCATATTAATTTACTTAATCTGATGTTATCTTTCTATCTTACACATTTTTTTATTGTTATCCTACTAAATTCCCGCAGCAATGCGCGGGGTTTCACCTAGTTCCAATATGAGAGGCTACCAATCACTACTTGGTTTAAAAGGGAAAGAGGATATACAACACGTAAAATACTGTGGTTGCGTGGTATGAATGTTTTAATATTTTTAACATCTTCTTTTATAACATGGATTAGGATTATGATTGTGCACACTGTACGATAATGGGCTTAGAGATGACAACTCAATGTTTTAACATGGTTTTGAATATACATAAAATTTGAACAAATTTACATTATATAGGTTTTTCAACATAATGTTTCCTTGCAAATTATTGTTTTAGAAACTGCTAAAAAATTATTGCAAGTTTTTGGGTAAATTTAGTGTAACTACATTGTAATTATAGTATAATTACACTATAATTAACTTAGATATGAAGTTACATGATTTTTAGTATTCTTATACAAGTTATAATGTAGTTATAGTATAGTACTATACTATAGTTACATTTGAAAATTTTCTACTCAGAAAACTTGCGGCAGTTTTTTCAGAGAGTCATAAAATTTCCCATGTTCATAAGAAGGTTACAGAAAGTGTTTTTTTAATCTTCTATATAATTTTTTTATCTTCCTATAAATATTTTTCTGTGGGAACTTTTTGATGGACAGTTTTCCTAGAGGAAGACTTTTTCTATGTTTAATAGCGAGTTTATTTCTAAAAACCCATGCGGTAAGTTTCTTATAAAAAAGTTTCTACAAAAAGTTTTCGGATAATCCTTTTGTATGAAATTCTGCACTGGAAACTTGTACATAAGTCACTATTTGGTGCTTTGCATGGAGATAGCTAGTTTGCACTTTTGATATGTGTATAACATGTGCATCATATGCTCGATGCATGTTTGTCAATAGACGCCTTATTAATAATCTGGTGCTATATTGGAACAACAAAGTTAGAGGAGAGCAACATCAACATCCAATTTTAGTTAAGAGAATATTACAAGGGCAAAATAAATTATTTTATCATCTCAAAAGGACATTATATTTTGTTGTCCATGATATCCAAGGAATAAATTACCATAATTTAATGATGTCGTTTTAAAAATAAAATGGAGTGTCCATTAGCAAAGAGCTAATTTTAGGGTCATATATAATTAAATTTTACCATTCATATATGTGATGAAGCTTGCAAAAATACACCAAAATTTTTTATAGGGTAATTACACACACCTAAACTACAGGGCGTATCACAAATAGCTTAGGTTATACATGTCCAAGCTACCAAAAATTGTTAACTTAGAGACTGTACCAACTT